TTTTTGAGAAAGCGCCATACTGCTTTCCACAGGGGTTGCACCATTTTACACTCCCACCAACAGTGAATCAGGGTTCCAGTTTCTCCACTAAACTTCCTTACATATTTGATGCAGGCCACACCCAGATTACATACATCAAACCTCATGAAGGGGAATGATCACATCCCAACTGCCAGACCAGAGAATGGTAGGTAACCATCAGATAACATTGTGAAGAATAGAAATTCCAGAGCGCTCAATTGTAGAATCTGTTCATGGACAAAGAGGCAGTTAGAACAAAACAAGGGAATTCTTCATGGTTTATAATCAGGAAGGGTAAGAGTCAGAATTGTATCCTTTCACTACACCTACCATCTGTATGTTGGGCAAATAATATAGGGAGATGGACTATATGAAGACGAGCACAGCATCAGGTTGGCAGAAGACTTGTTAACAACCTGTAATACTCAGATGACAAAACCTTGAGTGTTGAAGTTAAAAGAATTTGAAGCCCTTATAGATGAAGATTGATGGCTCTGACTGGGAAGATACCAGTAGTTACATCTTCAATGACTGCCTACAAACTTTTAAGATACCAGTCTCTTCCAGTAGTATTCTTGTGGATCCTGTGGGGTCTGTTCTCTATCAATAGGATCATGTCATCTGCAAAGAAAAGGGGAGTTTTATTCATCCTCCCTGATTTAGATACCTTTTTTTCCTGGAAAGGGTTAAACCGGGTGGCTCCTTGGAGGCAAGGATTCTGAGGCTCCGTCTAACTTACTTTGGACATGTTGTGAGGAGAGACTGGTCCTTAGAGAGGGACATCATGCTTGGGAGGGTGGAGGGACAGCGCAGGAGAGGAAGGCCCTCTATGAGGTGGATTGATTCAGTGACTGGGATAATTGGGATGGGAGTGTCAGAGACAGTGTGATTGGCACAGGACAGAGCGGAGTTTAGGGCTGTTGTACATAGGGTTGCTATGAGTCGCAGGCGACTCAACGACACATAACAACAACAATTGTTCTTATTTTCAATTTCCACTATAATACTGAATAGCAGTGGTGAGCGTGTCTTTGTCTTGTTCTTGAAACTAAAGACAAAGTTCTCAATCTTTCTTTACTGCGTATGATATGACCTACATATCTTTTACTCATTTTTACTATTTTTGTGGCTTAGATTTATTTCCTGTTCGTGTGTGTACAACTTTGCATTGAATACTACTAAGTATTAACGGAAAATAATCACAAACTTTTCTCTTTGTTGGTGTTACCCTAAAGAGTTATCAGGCTCACAGAACCTAATTTAACTCTTCCAAGCCTAGTCTGTAAAATGCTACTGTATTAAAAATACACTTAGATAACTGAATTTATGACTTTATTATTTTTTTTATTTCTTTTATCCTCAGGACCCAACTTTGCCTGGTCCTAAACCAGTCAAAAAACGAGCCAAAAAACCCAAACCAAGAGGTAAGCAAGTCAGCTAGACATGGGGCATGTTTATGTTGCAGGCAAGGCAGATGCAGTGAGTATAACGGGTCTGCAGGTGGCCTCTCTTGACTGTCTCAGCCCAGCACTGGAGAAAACTATGTTCTTCTATTTCTTGCTTGATATTTGCCATTTTAAAGATTCACTAGGCAAAGCCAATTGATAGTGTCATCTGAGGAAACTGCTGTGCTTTATTTCTGGATATCGAATTATAAAATCTTGGGTTGAAAACCTGGTGTTCTAAAGTCTTAGCCAAGAAGGCAGCCTCAAGAGAGATCCAGGAAAAAGAGGGAGAGAGAGTTCACTAGATTGAGAAGAAAGTATAGGGAAGGGCAGAGATTAAATGTGAGCAGAGACTAAAGAACTGCCAAGCTGTCTTTTAGAGAAACACATTTCCTTCATGGGTGGTGTGGGGTGATGCAGGCCAAGTAAATGGACGCACTGGGACCTTGCAAAAGAAGACAAAGAGATCTCTGGGAGATGAAGCCACAGCTCCTCCTGTGCTCACGACGGCAGAACAAGAAGACCAAGAGAATTCAGAGCCTCAGCAGCCAGGTAAGGCTCAAGGCCTGGAAAACAATGTTAATATTCCTCAATCATTTTTAAACATTTCTATAGCTTTTATGACACGTACTCAGCTTGAAGGCACCTAACAAACATAATTTTTATTATTCTAAGAAGGAAAAATAAATTTATGGTTTTATTTTTAGAAACTTGAGTTTATAGCATATTTTGTGTCTCAGACTACAACACAGAGAACATGCTGTAAACTTAATGTTTTGACTAAATTTGAGCACAGATAAATGGTAGAGAGAAGAAATGGTAGCAACTGGGTATTGTCATGGTCTGGATAGATGTACCTCCATACATACTTCCTTTACTTTTATTTCTGACTTGTATTTGCCATTTTAAAGGTAAGTAAATTGAAGCTTAAAAGGTCTAAACTTTGTTCAGATGTCTTCCAGCAAATGACTTGTCCATGTCTTTCTGACTCCAAAGCCCTCGTTCTCTCTATTGAGTAAAGTCACCTTTCTTCGTGATTTCTTAGAAATAGAAATTTGGGATTTTATTTGTGCAGCGGTAAGGACAGACTGACCTAATAGGACTCTCACTTTTGTCACCTTTGCCTGTAGGACCTAAAAGAAAATTTAAAGCTCCCCAAAGCAAATCTTTGGTAACCAGTTTGTCTAAGGAAAGAAAAGCTAGAACGGGACCAAAGGTCCTGGCCCCCTTAGCTCTTCATAATGGGGGCTGCCCCACGATGGAGAAGGAAGAGCCTGGGCCCCAGGAATCACCTCAGGGTGCTGAGCGTATTCCCCCCGAAGACGAAGCTTCCAGTGACGTGGACCTGGAGATGCTCCTGGAAGATGTGAGACAAGAGCCTGAGCTGGAAGAAGAGTCCTAGGCCAGAAATGGCCGCGTGGGCCTCTCCATGGCCTTATCTGTGGAATAACTGAGTGACCTTGTTCTGTTCTCACTCCTTTTCCTCTAGTGCAGGAGGGAGGGCCTGGCAGTGGGATCCCCAGGAAGTTTGTTGACATTAATTGCTACAAGGTTAAAGTCAGAGTTGTGCAGTTTATTTATTAATAAAACAGATTTGTGCTTTAATTGACCCCTTTTCTCTTTAGCCAGGTCTTCTCCTTTGTATTTCTTTTCTTTCTCTTCAGGGTCACTGTGGCACAGTGGATTTGGTGGGAGAACTGCCTGGATAGTAGGAATAAGGTATAGAGTAGTGACACCTGAGTCCTGGAAAAACATTAAGAAGGTAGATCTGGGCTCAGGATCGGCTGTGCACCACCTGTATGGCCAAAGAGTTCATGCTGACTGTGATTCTTAATTTTCATGCCTAAAAATAAGTACATCACCCACATTACAGATTTGTTGGACGCTTAAGATAATGCATGTCAAGCATTTACAACCATGTGCTATTTATTATTGTAAAGAAAGTAGAATGGTTAGATTAGGGGTACAGAACCAGAGTCCTAGACTGGTTATCAATATTTGTGATGTTTATTTCTTGGCTTGATAGTCACTGAAAAAAAATTGCTAAAGGTGCCTTGGGTGTATCATCTATTAGAGTTTATTTTGATGGGAGAGGTAAAAGATAAAAGGGACATCAATTTTCTGCTCAGATACATTTGGATAGTTTCTCTGGGTACTTTGAGGTTTTTAGGTAAAACTACAAGAGGGAATTGTAGGACCAGGCACTGTTTCTCTCAATTCCTTGGTGCCTTTAACGTCTGCTCACCTCTGAGTTGCCTATGTCTGGTCTGGGATCACTGGAACCTGAGCCTAGAGGACAAGGGACGGGCGCTGCTGCCCAGGGCTGAGGGCCCAGGTGCATATTAGGTCTCTGTCCCCGCCTGGCCGGCAGCGGCCCCTCCTGACCCCCGCCCCCGTCGCCCCCTCCTGCCCCTCCCGCGCCCCCAGCGCCCCCTCCCGGCCCCCCCTCTGCTCAGGCAGAGGCCCCAGGCCTTCTGCAGCTGCAGTCGGCGGCGCCACTTCCCGGCGAACGTGTCCTGGACACTTGGGGGCGATGAGCAGCCACCACAAACCTCAGCCTTGAGGAGTGCGGCGGTGGCGACACCACGTCTCCGTCTTTCCAAGAGTGTGCCTACGGGGTTGGTTCTACAAACATCTCTCCGGACCAAGTGGGGAAGTGCTGGAGCTTTGTCCATTGGGTAAGTCGCCCAGTGGGGACTCTGGGCCTCAGTCTTCACTCATTGGACAAACAAACAAATTGGAAGAGAGAGTACCTGGGGGTCGAAGCTCCGGGTCACTACAGAACTGAAGTCTCGCCCTGCCCACCAGCATACTTCTACAAGCCTGAGCAGGGGTCCATCTCCCACCCCCATGTCCCCCACCTGCACACCCTACACCCTGAGGGTTACCTCCTCATCCCTGCTCTCCCAGGCCCCACCTGTGAGCACTTGGGTCTGATACTTAGGTAGAGTTCCAGGGTTCTGGACTCTAGGCCTTGATAGCTGGGGCCAGGCTGGGATCTGGAGTCCCCCCTTATTCCATGAGCACTTCCTTCTTAGAGCCTCAATGTTACCTGAGGAGCCCCAAATCTTCTCCGCAGACCCCTGTAATTAGTCCCATGCCCCCTGTGCTGGCCTGGTCCACACGGACCTCCTTCTCCCCTGGCCTGCCTCCCCACCCTCATTTATGCTCTCAGCAGTGCCTCCTTTTCCCCTTGAAGCCCCAGCTCTCCTGGGACCATGGAATCAACAGGGCTGGGGGCTTCTCAGAGAACAGTGATGATCACTAGCTGAGAAAGGCAGGTCTCAGGACTCCTTGTCCTCCGGGTTCACTTCTCCCAGCCCAGGGTAGAGCTGGTGGCTGCATGAAACGGGTCCACTCAGCAGCACTGTCCACAGGGCTTGGGTTGGACAGTCTGTGGGAAGGCCCTCCCTGAGCCAGGTTATCAGGTGGATTTCTCACATGCAGAAGGGGTTCTACAAAAGCTGCCCTGTTCTCCCCATGTCCCGTCATCCTCACCAGTACCCACCCCAGTAGGGGTTATTCACCCCTGGCTATTATCCACATTGCCCTCTGACCATTGGAATCCAGTCCATTAGAGACTAGAGGCTTGCACAGCCTCCCCTAGATGTGTGAACTATGTGAAATCAGACATAGGTTAGCACAAGCCAGCACAAGTAAGATGTTTATCTTACTTACTGGGCACTTGGCCCATTAGGAGCCATACATTTGGAAAGGGGCTTTGATTTTCTAGGAAGGTGCTGTAGGGTTGAGGGACAGACAGATGCCAGCCATACCTAGAATATTTTATTTGAAAAGGAGAAGTGATTCACTACAGGTAAGAACAAGCAGGCCCATGCTTACTTTGGTAACTGGGTAATATGACATGGCTTTTGCCCAAGTTGTCTCATGGATGGAAAGGCAAAGGCTGCTGGATGTGAAGGCTGGTGGGTAGGCGGGTGTGTGTGTGTGTGTGTGTGTGCGCGCAGCCTCAGTGCCAGCTCCTGGAGTGGCAGCAGGAGCAGGTCCTGGTGTCCCTGATTGCAGGAGGTGAGCTGGAGGAAGAAACTGTGGGCAGGGACAAGAACCAATGAATGGCAACTCTGGAAGCCCCACAGTCAGGCCATCTTAGGGACCCCTTGTCAGAGGGGTGCTGGGAAGACAGAAGGGACCTATCTGGGGTAGAGGCCTCCCAAGCCTTTGCTGCTGGTGAGGTTTGAATGCTGAGCATCTTGCCAAAGCCCACAAGCCCCTGGGGTCCCTCAGTGATTTCTTCAGAGTAAGGAAGGCCACCCTGCCTGATACTGCTCCCCAAGGGCCCCAAAGTCCAGGAAGAAAATCCCAGGGCAGAGGAAGATGGTTGTGATTGGGGTACTATGCTTTCTCCTTGGCCCCGCCGAGGTTCTCTCCCATCGGGGTCTTGCCTGGCTGGACCCTGCTTCCCAAGAGCTAAACCTGCTTAATGATTCCTTCCCACCCACCATGTAAAACAAAAAGCCCAGCTGAGACCCACATCAGATAAACCAGCATTGCTGACTTATTGACATCATCTAAGAGGGCTAGGGAGGTGTTCAAAACAGGAAACAAGCGGGGATGGGGTTTCGTCACTTCACATGCAGACACAGGGCACATACTGCCCACATCCGCAGCAGTGTCACCTCTGGTGGCACTCAGCTGAGATCTAAAAATAAAAAATGAAGTGCAAAGACAGTGTGCCTTCCAGAAACAAGGATTTCCCACCTTGTATCGGGAAAGATCACATGGACTGGGATCTCTCATTAAATTCCTGAGCAACCCTCTCAGGTTTGAGCTCGAGGGTCAAGGAAAGAACAAAGGTTGAGGCCTGAGTGAGGCCTCCTCCCTTCTGCCTGGGCAGAGCGTCCATCCCCATCAGAGAGGCAGAGCTGTGGATGGAGGCAGGCAGGCTGCCAGGGTTCCGGCCCTGGGGCGAGTGCAGTACAGGTGGAGAGTTGCTGGTGGGAGTGGACCATCTCCAGGCTGCTGGGCAGAAGGACGTGGTGATCATGGGCATGAAGCTGATGTAAGGGAGGCCTGGCCAGCAGCCAAGGACCTAGGGGAAGAAAGGCCTAGTAGACCCCCTTCGCTCCATGCAGTCCCATCTCCAGCCTCTTACTCCCCACTCCAAACAGGACCCCAGTCCTCACCAAGGCTGCACTAATGTCCTGGGTCTGGGGCAAGGAGGCTAAGTCTAGGGACAGACTGGGAAGACGGGGCCACAAGGGAAAGCCTTGCTGAGCCTAGGCTGGGTATGGGGATTCTGACGAAGGAAGAAAGCCAAAATAGTGAACCCCTGAAACCCCAAAGATCTTGGCCAGGTCTACCTCACAATGGGGGATGGAGGAGGAGCAGGAGCTCTGTGCAGAGATGCACCAGCTGGGTGGCCAGGGTCCCTGAGCCCCTACTGGCCCCCTCTCCTCACCAGGTTAACCTCACCTTAGGGAGGTTTCCATCACCCTTCTAGGGGCCTCAGGAAAGGACGTAACACAGCAGAGAGGACTGTTGGCTCTGGGGCTTCTGAGTGTTCAAGGGTGAGGGAGATGCTGGCTCTGGTTTCCCAGTAGGCCTGGTGAGCTGGGACCCCACACCAGGGGCCAGGTCAGGATGCAGTAGCACCAGGCTGTTGCCTCAGACACCATCTCCCCATGGCCCATCACCAAGGAAACAGAGCACCCAGCAGAGGACCTTAGCGGTTTTCATCTGAACTTGCACCCACACCTCAGGGTATAGAAGAATCCTTCCACCACCTCTTCGGTGGTCTCTGCCTCTCTGACCTCCTGCACTTGCTGCCTGGGCCCCTCCACCCCAGCAGTGAGGCAGAGGCCCACAGCACACTCCTAAGCACTCACCTTGAGCAATCAGCTGCCTACTTTCATCGTCCCAGGGCTGCGAATCTGACCTCCCCAAGCTGAATCTGCTCCATCTGTAGCTGTCTCCATGACAAATTTCTTCCAGTTTCTCAGGTCAAAACCAGAGTCATCTCTGAGTACTCTTTCACATCCAACCTACCAGGAAATCCTCTGGTTTTCCCCACACAGACCAACTGACCACTTCTCCTGTCCTTCACTGCCACCTCCTGATTCAAAACTTGACTTCAACACGAGGAGTGCTAGCTGCCACCTGCTCCTGAGGGTCAGGGCTCCACAGTGGTTGCATGCGTGTGTGTGTGTGTGTTTTGCTGAAACTTCCCCAGTTTTGAGCATGTAAGGAGGTGTTACCATCCCACCACAGTGAAAGGGCAGTCTCCAAAAGGAGATTAAGAAGCTCAACTGTTTATAGCTTTTTTCTGGGGGCAGGGAGTGAGAAGAAGAAGAATGGTGAAAAAAGAGAAAGGAGGAGAGGAGCAAGCTGGTCCTTAGCCGGCCACAAGGTCTCCTCATCTGGCATGGTTACGAGAGGACACAGGGATCTTGTTACCGGAAGTGATGGCTCCTCCTGCCCAGATCATTAAAAGTTGGATGGCCTGTGAAACCACAGTGAGAAATTGCAATGAGGCAGATACTCAAGATGGAAAACTGGAAATCAAACCTAAAAGGCTGAAGAGATCCGTAAACTGCATTGGAAACCAGTAAAGGTAGAAAGTGACCGCTGTTTTCATGTAGGTAAATTCTCGTCAGAGGGAAAGGCGGGAACCCAGGTTATCTGGGCTGCTCGGAGCAGAATAGGAGCAGCCAAGTCTAAGTTTCAAGGAGGTGGATTTCCAGAGGCTGTTTTGCGCGATTCTAGGTGAGAGATGATGGTGGTTTAGAACAGAATGGGGGCAACTAGAAGAAACAGATTCTAGGTGTATTTTGGAGGATGACTTGAGAGGAACTGGTGAAGAACAGAAAAAGAGGAAAGGAGAGGTTGGTGTTAAGGACTTGGGTTTGAGGTTGGACATTGACAGTAACTCCCCAGTTTCAACTTAAAGATACCACATTTCCATGAAATTTCAAATGATACCAGGTATCTCTGTGATGAGGGCATGCAGTTACTCCTGGGAGAGAACCCTTAAGTGAGAGCTGTTGTGACACATGGACTAGCGTGGCCCAAGAGGCGGTGAGGCAGGTGGTTGGTTCAAGGCTCCACACGCCAGCCTGTTAAGAACCCTCCTTCCCTCACTGAGACCTGAACTTTCACCCTAGACAGACGACTCAAAAGCAGTCAATCTCTCCTCAGCTCTGGTCTCCACACCACCCAGTCTCCAGGTTACTAAGTAACACGTCGCGACAGCCTGCACAAAGCACAGGGCAAGGGGGTGGGGTGCGGGTGTCACACCCTGGGCAGCAGCAAACAGGATGACGGGACCCGAGAATGCGACCTCCAATGATGTAACCATCTCACACCAGCTCCATTTTGAACCAGCAGGTTCAAATATGTTTATTGAACTAACATTTAGGACATAAAAGAGATGTCCTAAAAAAGTGGGAAAGCTGTCCCAAAAATAGAGGTGAGCTTATAGTCTCTTTGTATTAAGCATGAAGACAATGCTACTCTCCCAATACTGAGGTGCCGGCCTGCCCCTACCCCAATATTCCAACAGCAGGAACTGGGTGCTCTGCTCAAACATGTGTCAGATCAACAGGCGCAGGCAACAAAGCGTGAAGACACCTTCCTTTCCACACAGAACCATCGGAGAGAAAGGCAGGTCAGAAAGGCAAACCAGCATTCCTCTCCTGACAAAATTTCCTCTCCTGGAAAAAATGCTTCATTTTCTTCCTTTCTCTTGTGTGTCTTCTCCAAATGGTCAAGTCACTGAGGTGGTGCAGAGGCAGTGGAGAGGGGCAGTTGTGTTAGTAATCCTGAAACGAGAAAGATGGAAGGAACACAAACACACACCCCCGCCCCCATCACCATCAACATCAACAGAGCAAGGGCCTCCAGAAGATGACAGGGTCCTGCAAATAACAATTCTACCCCCAGCCTTTTTGAGAGGACTCCCAGGTGACCTATCAACATTTCCTGATGACACACAATCCCACTTAACCTGCCCTCCACAGTCTTTCATGGGACACTTGCCTCCATGTTCAGCTCTGTAGAATCTAAGAGGTCCAGCTGGTGTTCACCAGAGGAAGAGCAGCTACTTGGTTGCTAGAGGGAATGGAGTCAAAGTCAGAAAGGGCTTTGCTCACTCCCACAAGACCCCAAACAACACCTGTTCCATTGTGAGGATCATAACAACTAATGGGAAGGGCCACTGCAGGCACCTGTTAGCACAGACAGGGGTGACAGGACTGGTTATCGCCCGCCAGGAGTCATCAGAGGAGTGCCTCCTCTCCTGGCCTACCCTGAACAAGCTCCTTAAATGGAGTCACTCTGGAACTAGTGAATGGGATTGTCCCGAGAGAACTTTAGAAGAGAATATTTTAATAGAGGCCATGTTCTCTAGATGCTCATTTAAAGATGTCCTTGTTTGGTGTTTTGTTCTGTCCACAAGAGCTCTATCCCTCTCTCTCTGCCTCCATCATTTCTTTCTCCTCAAATTCTAAGGTTAACAACATTAACATTAATTTAGCTTTTCTGTTTATAACATGCTTTCACTTATGCTATTTTGTATAAAATCTCCACTTTATTTATGATGAAATAGATGTTAGGATGAGTTAAGCAGCTACCCTGACAAAGTTAGCAACTGGTAGAACTGAGGACTGAAACTCTGATCTGCTAACTCCAAATTCTATACTCTACTGTAGTGGGAACGCTTCCCCCTGGGGAGGCAAGCAGGGTAGGGAGGAAAAGGTGAGTAACGTGGAATTGGCAGCTAAGTGAAAGGAAGATGATTAGAAGTCAACGAATGTTCTGCAGGAGAAAGATGTAATACTCTCCTCTGCTAAGGATTCGCATTCTTGTAAAGGCTACAGACAGTTCTACAAAGGGTCTCCCATATAACTTGATGGCAGTGAAGTTACAACTGTAACTTAGTTATAGCCATAATTTTCTAAGCTAAGATAGAATTTTCTCTATGGGAAAAGAGACTAGGTCTGGAGTTCTGTGTGTATGCATGTATGCATATTTGTATACTAAAGAAACTAAGTGGGCTGCAAGACTGGATTAAATTACTTTCTGTAGCTCCCAAATTCCTTAAGGATTGGGTGTGCTGTTCTAGTTCATTTTGTTGTATGTTTCTCCTTTATTTTTTAAATAAAATTAAGTGGCAAAAGTCTGAAGCAACTTACAAACTTCTCTCTACTTTGATTATTTCAAAAAGACCTAAGCAGTTTTCAGAGGCAAGGAGACCAACAGAATCATTTGTCCATGTCTTTAATTCTGGAGGGAGAAGGGAGCGGTGGGTCTTCCTCACCTTGTCTGTATCTTGCCATTCTTCACTTGAGTCATCCTGAAATACCAGCCCTTCTTCTTCCTCTTCCATTAGACTAAGTCTGTAAGAATATATAATAGAATATAACAAAGAAAGAAATAAAATATAATAAGATCTATAAGAATAGATGTTTTCAAACTGCCTTTTCAAGACTGATGTGAGTTCATCAGAGACACTTCAGGGGAGCAGGTATCAGGTAGAGCTGGGCTCTAGGTTCCATTCCTGCTTTGATCAGAGCAGCTCTACCTTTATCTGTGCTACACTGAGGTTCTACAAGATACTGGGAAAGGTTTGTGATTAAAAGAAGTGCAAAACACTCACAGACTCACTGGGTAAGGGTAGAATTTCCCAAAGGTAAGAGGCATGAGATTTGCTCACTGGGTAAGGGCAGAATCCCCTCACGTCGGTAGGATGAGGTTTGAAGTGAAGCTAGATGGTATCAGGAAAGCTTACCGGGTCAGTCGATTGCCCAGACAAGGACCTGAAGAGGTGACTGGAGTACAAAACCGCTGTGACTCTGAGGACCGTAGCCACTGAGTGTCTGAACGAAGCTTGCTGTTGGGGAATAAAATAGGATCAATGACTGGGAATAAGAGTAAAGTGTGAAAAGGGGAGGTAAAGTGGTCAATGTTCAAGTGAAGAAAAGCTCAGAGTACAGGGAAAGAGCTTGAATTGAATTTAAAAAAAAAAGGATAGTGGGGAGCAAAAAAAAAGACAAAAAAAGATAGTGGGGAGCCACCAAACAAACTACCAATTGGAACTTCACCGAAGACGACATTCAGATGGCTAACAAACACATGAAGAAATGCTCAAAATCCCTAGCCCTAAGAGAGATGCAAATTAAAACAACTATGAGATATCATCTCACCCCAGTCAAAATAGCAAAATTTAACAGAACAGCAAGCAACAAATGCTGGCGAGTTTGTGGAGAAACTGGAACCCTGATTCACTGTTGGTGGGAGTGTAAAATGGTGCAACCCCTGTGGAAAGCAGTATGGCGCTTTCTCAAAAAGTTGCAAATAGAGATACCATTTGACCCAGCAATTCCACTACTGGGAATATACCCTGAAGAGACCATAGCTGACATCCAAGCAGATATATGCACACCCATGTTTATTGCAGCTTTGTTCACAATAGCAAGGAGTTGGAAACAACCAAAGTGCCCATCAACAAACGAATGGCTAGAGAAGCTGTGGTATATTCGCACAATGGAATACTATGCTGCATTAAAAGACAAGGAACTCATGCAATATTACTCAAAATGGTTGACTCTGGAGAACATTATGCTGAGTGAAATATCCCAGTCACAAAAGGACAAATATTACATGATGCCACTGTTGAAGAATGGGACTAACCTCGGGGTTGGGGAGAGACTGAGTAAGATGGGTTCAATAATGTATACTGCACTGAAACAGAGGAGGGAGAAAACTGTTTAAAAGAGATATGTGACTAGGTATTTCTGTCATCACAGGAGTCTAGAGCAATAGCTACATGGTGGAGGGGACCTGGGGGAGGGTTTGTAAAACAACGAAAGAATCTTTTACTTTTCCATAATTTTTGATTCATGTACTTATAACTTGTTAGTTAAATCTGTGTCTTCTAGGTTGCAACACCCCCATGATACATCTTCAAGGATATGAACATGTACGGCTAATCACAATCAATAACAGTGCATCTAAATTCCAAAATCAATCTCCATAATAGTCTATGTGTTTCCTACTGCCAAAGGGGCCCTTTAGAGTAGTGAGAGAAAATCTTCACCCTGAAACCCACAGCGTGTCTTTTCAGCAGGAAGTAGCTAAGAGAATACGCCATCCCTTTTTCCTTATGAATCAGGGTGAAGTCTCTCTCAGGGAGGAGTGATAGGGAATGGCAAAGGACACACTGACAAAGGAGATTAATCAGAACTGACTTTGATAAGCACTGTGGCAATTGGACAATTAAAACAGACATTCGGATGGCGGGGGAAGAAGAACGAACTGGGGAGGAGGGTGGAGAGAATGGTGCAGCAATGAAGGAATGAAAACCCAAAATATCCCTGTAAATGTTCATTAAATCTAATAAAATTTAATAATAATAATAATAATAATAAAAACAAAAAAACTACCAATTGGAGATGGTAAGATACCCAACTGGAAAGCCAGAGACCAGACTTCTCTCCTTGGCCCTCACCCTTGGGAGAACTCCAATCCCGATCTCTCTTCTTCTTCCACCTCTTCTAACTCTACCACGGGCTGCTTACTCTTCACAGCTGTAGAGGTGAGGGCAGGCGTGGCTGGGACACTGCTAAGTTGCAGGCTTTCTTCCTGGGAGGAAGAGGCATCATCTATTTTCGACCTGAAGGGGCCTGCAGAGAAGTAGACGTGGATATTAACTATAACCCAGACACTTCTCTGTTTCCAAGAGCTCTCCAAAATTTGGCAAAGAAAAGTTAAGGAAAAAAGAGAATGGGTAGTCTATCATGACCTCATTTTGTTGATGCAAAGAGAAAGGAAGCTAATGTGCAGCCCTCTGTGTTAAAAAGTAAGGCTTATAGACTCCTATTGAGGCTCTAACCTTGTAAAAAAACTTACAATACAGCTAACAGGACAAGATGGAAAGTGATGCAAACATACATTTTCCAGATACATATTAACATCTGAATATAAGAGAAGTTTGGACTCCTTGACATTGAAAGATGGGGATTTGCTCTAAACTAATCAACCCAAACAAGCAAGGTTTTCTCCAATTAACAGATCCTTGGTGGGGGAAAAAACCTCCTATAATTTCAATATAGCTTTGTGAGCAGAAATCAGGGTGGAATGATGGTTAGGGAGGATTAAAAAGAAAAAAAATAAAAGGATTTTCCAAGGGCCAGAAAAACATGAGATGACTGGAATCCTTATGAAACTCTGATAAAAGGATACTTGGAGGGCCTGAGGCTCAAAATGTTTAAGGACTTCTTATAAAGCGCTGAGCCCTGGTGGTTCAGGGATTAGGCAACTGGTAAGGCTGGTGGTTTGAGAGTTTTAATTCCCCAGCCATGTGGAAGGAAAAAGACAAGGCATTCTGCTTTTGTAAAGATTATAGCCTTGAAATACTATGTGCCATTCTATCCTGTCCATTAAGTGTTGCTATGAGTCACAAGTGACTTGATGACAACAGGTGTTCGTCTGGTCTCCTCCAAAGATAAAAAAAGAGGAGGAGAAAGAATCCAGATCTATAAGTTATTAAATTTTAAAATATAATTCAAACTAATATTACTATTTCTCAACTGTAAATAGTCATACCCTATTACCCTCCCTCTATACAACCATTCTGTACAACTGAACTACAGCCAAGAAGTGAGCTGCTATTAATTTAAGCAAAGAGGGTTACAAAAGACAGGCAAGAGCTATATACTCAGAGAAGAAAATAGGCCCCCAGCAGATGGCAGCACCAACCTCAGGAACCTCAGGTTCTGGGCAGTGATAAGAATAGAAAGGAAACATCTTGTTTGATTCACCACCACTTAAACCCCCAAACTCTGTCACTAATTAACCAGTTGACATTTCTACTTTGATCTGTGTGCCATCTTGAATTCATTTGTCAAAGTCTGACCTTGTTCTTAGGTGTGTGAGTCAAGTACAACTCTTATCATCAAACCTATGAACAACAGACCTGAACCCTGGCCTATCCTGTGCCATACTCATCATCTCTGATATCAGCCCACTGCTGAAATCACTGTCAATCCATCTCGTCGGAGGTCTTCTCTTTCGTTGACTCTTCATCTTTCCAAGTATGATGTCCCTTTCCAAGAAATAGCCTCACCTAGCTACCTGACCAAAGTATAAGAAGCTTCACCATCTTTGCCTCCCAGAACCATTCTGGCTGCACTCTTTCTAAGACATGTCTATTTGTTCTTTTGAGGTCCACGGGACATTCCTCACTCTTCTCCAACACCACAACTCAAAGGCATCAATTTTTTTTTTGTCATTCTTATTCATTGTCCAGCTCTCTGATGTGTACTAGGTAACTGAGAAGACCATGGCCTGAATCACATGTACCTTAGCCTTCAAACTGCCATCACTGCTCTACAGCATTTTGGAGAGATCCCTGACAGCAGACTTGCCCAATATGGTATGTCTCCTGATTCCCTGACTGCTGGCACCAAGGGTGTTGATCGTTGATCCAAAGAAGATGAAACCACTGACAGCTTCAATCCTTCCTCCAACATCTATCTTAATGGTGACTGTTAGTCCTGTGGTGAGGATTTTTGGTTTCTTGAAGTTGAAATGTAATCCATACCAAACGTCCTTAAATCTTTGGCAGCAAGTGCTTCAAGTACCCCTCAATTTCAGAAAGCAGGGCTGTGTCATCTGAATAACACAGGTTATTGATGAGTCTTCTCCCAATCCTGATGCCACATTCCTCTTCATACAGTATAGCCTTGTGAATTATTTGCTCAGCATACCTTATCTTCTCCAAAGTGGCTCCTCTATCTTCAATTTTTGTTTATCTTTTAGGTTCAATAACAGTCTCTTCTTCCACCACTTGACTTTAATAAAGGCAATATCAAGCCAACTGACAACTTATTACCTTCCATCAAGTTTCAAAAGCTATAAGTATTTACGAGAACAGGTGCTTCATTCATCTTCACTCACAGAACAGCCGGTGGATTTGAACCACTGACCTTTCAGTTAGCAGTAAAACAAGTAATGCATTACATCACCAGAGCTCCCATTCATTCTGTCAAGGCTAGACACAACTATCCCTTCCTCTCCACCTTGCCTAAGACATTCATTATTATGCATCACCATATAAAGTATAATAGATGCCTCAATTGACTGAAAGATATCCGTATTTATTCCTATTCCAAAAAAGGTGCTCTGACAAAGTGTGGAAATTACCAAACAATATCACACACAAGCAAAATCCTGCTGAAGACTATACAAAAACGAACAGTACATTAACAGAGAACTATCAGAAACAGAAGCTGGGTTTAGAAAACGCTGTGGCACTAAAGGCTTTATTGCCAATGTCAGTTGGATCTTGGCTGAAAGCAAAGAGTAGCAGAGGAACGTCTCCCTGTGCCTCATTAACTATGCAAGGCATTTGATCATGTAGATCACAACTGTGGCTAACCTTGAGAAGAATGAATGGGAATTGTAGACCACTTGATTGTGCTCATGCAAAACCCATACTTGGACCCAGTGACAGCCATCAGAACAGAACAAGGAAACACTACATGGTTCAAAACTGAGAAAGGGGTATATCAGGGATGTGTCCTATATCCATACCTTTCAATCTATAAGTGGAACAGCTCATTCGAAAAGCTGGTCTTTATGAGGATTGTAGCATCAGGATTTGAGGAAGACTCAACCATCTGTGCTATGCAGATGATACAACCTTGCTTGCTGAGGAGGACTTGAAGTGTTTGCTGCAGAAGGTCCAGGACTATAGTCTTCAATATGGACTGAAGCTTAACATCAAGAAGACAGAGATTCTTACCAGTGGGCCTACTGGCAGCATCATGATGGATGGAGAAGAGATTGAGGTTGTTAACAATTTCAGCTTGCTCAGCTCCACAATCAAGATCTTGGCACCAGCAGTCAGGAAATCAAAAGACAAATTGTACTGGGGAGTCTGTGTCAGGAACCTCTCCAGAGTGCTGAGGGGCAGTGACATCAGTCTAGAGACTGAGGTGCACCTTATCCAGGCCATGGTTTTCTCAATTACATGCTATGAATCAGAGAGCTCGACAATGACTAAGGAAGACAGAAGAATTGATGCCTTTGAGTTGTGCTGTTGGAGAGGAGTACTGAATGTACCATGGACAGCCAGGAGAATAAACAAGTCTGTCTTGGAGAGGGTGAAACCAAGTTTCTCTTTGGAGGTAAGGATTTTGACACTCCCCCTTACACACTCTGGGCCATACTCCATCTCATATAATGTAGCCAGGAAGAACCAGTCCTTGGAGAAGGACATTATACTTGGAAGGGTGGGGAGACAGCACAGGAGAGGAAGACCCCAGATGAAATGGACTGACACAGTAACTGGGGCAATGGGATTAGGGTGTCAGAGTCAGAGTGACAGGCTCAGAAAAGGACAGGATTCAGAGCTGTTGTACATAGGGTCACTATGAGTTGTAGTCAACCTGACAGCACATAACAACAATCACCACCACATTCATTATTACACATGTGAACTAAACAGAGCTCTGGTGGTGTAGTGAGCAGCATCTTACACACTAAATGAGGCAGCAAGCTTCTGGCAATTCAAATCCATCAGCAGCTTCTTAGCAGAAATACAGGCAGTGCCCAGTCCATCATGTTCCACCCCACCCCTCCAACTCATACTGATTTACAGCCTCCATGAAGGGTTGTGATGAAGTGAATTTGACTCAACAGTTCAAAAGGTAAGCTACTATGATGATTTCTTTTCAGGTAATATTTTCTTATTTTCAATGAAGGTTTACTTGTGTTCTCATTCAATAATCTCTATACAAGTTGTTTGGTGGCATTTATTACATTCTGTGAACAGTTTCATTATTTCTATTCTAGTTCTATTTTCATTCTAGGTTCCCTGCCTCTAATTTGCTCTTTATTGTAAAGTAACTGACCAATGAATCTCAAAGAGGGGATTTCTGTGTGTGTGAGAAAAATTTGCATTTAGAAATAGCCAGCTGGATTCAGTTTAGATGATCCCAATTTTGTGAGCAACATCCAAAGCATCACAGTCAGGAGCAAGTCAAACATAAACCTTCTCTCCACCAGGCTTTACAGCTTGCTTTATTTGGTGCTTGTTGGCTTTGACATCCACAATGAACACAAGTGTGTTGTTATCTTCTACCTTCTTCATGGTTGGCTCAGTGGTCAGGGGAAATTTGATGATGGAATAGTGGTCAAGCTTTTTTCTCCTGGGGGTGCTATTCCAGGGTATTTGGGCTGCCTTTGGAGTCTCAGTGTCTTAGGCCGCCGGAAGGTGGGTCACATGTGGATTTTTTTTTGGCTGTGGATGCCCTTCAGGATGGCCTTCTTGACCTTTAATGCCTTTGCTTTGGCTTCAGTTTTGGGAGGGGCAGGAGCTTCACTCTTTGCTTTCAGCACAGTCTTTGTAGAAAGCAGATTTTTTTTTTTTAAATCACACAGCACTTATGGATAAAAAGGGCCCGGAGTACTTATGACGACAAACTCCTTCAGAGTCTCTTCTGACATTCACTTTGGTCTTTTCTTCCTGTCTTTGCAAAGACCTTTTGCTTTCTTCATGAATGATGTCCTTGACCTCATCCTACAACTCATTTGGTCATTAATGCTCATTCAATGCATTAAAATCTATTCTTGAGATGGTTTTTAAATTCAGTTGAGACAGACTCAAGGTTGCAGCTCTAGTGGGCTTGTTTTCATTTTCTTCAGCTCCAATTTTAACTTCTACAGGAATAATTGATGGTCTGTTTCAGCCTGTCTCTGGTTTCACTTTGACTTCTGATACTAAAACTTCTCCACTGACTCTTTCAAAAGATGTAGTGAATCGAATTCCTGTGTTGTCTATCAGGTGAGGGCCACTTGTTTTAAGTGCCACTGAGTCAATTACAAATCATTAGCAATGCCACAAACAATGGATCCTTGCCCTATCCTGTTATGGAAACACAAAAACTACAATGAAATACCAAGTCAAGATCACTCTCAGAAAAGCATTGTTGTTGAATGGAAACCAACTCTTAGTGGATTTTTGAGCCTGTAAATCACACAGGAGGAGACTGTCCATTTCTCTCCCTGGAAGCTGCTGGTGGATTTGAACTGCCAGAGAGGTTTTTTGGTTTGTAGCACAACTCCATATGGATTATGCTGAGGGTTCTTTTAAAATCACTAGGACGAATTCTAAAACAAAACAAAAAACCCCAGTGTTGACAAGGATGAAGAAAAACTGGAATGCTTATATAGATTGCTAGTGGAAATGTAAAATGGAGCAGCCACTCTGGAAAACTTTGGTAGTTTCTCAAAACACATAAAGTTACCTTATGACACAATAATTCCATTTCAGTTTATATACTCCAAGAGAACGGAAAACATTTAACCACACGAAGATGTGTAGATGGCTACTCATAGAAACATTATAATTAAGAACCATAAATCACATAAATATCCATCAAACTAAGCAATGGATAAAGGACGTGAAGTAAACCCGTCAAGAGAAAATTTCTCCATCAAAAGGAATGAAGTACTGCTTCTACAACACAAATGAACAAATGAAAACATAATGCTCTGTGAAAGAAGTCAGACACACAAAGCCACACATTTTATGATTGCATTAATATGAGATACTCAGACAGAAACTAGATTATCGCTTGCTCAAGAGTAAGGGAAAAGGGGGGAAAAAAGAATAAGGGGAAAGGGAGAATGGGAACTAATAGCCAATGGATATGGGATTTTTTTTCAGATGAAGACAGTGGTGACTGCTATACAATCTTGTGTATATACTAAAAACCACGGAGTATTACATTTTTAAAGGATAAATGGTATAATATCTGAATTATCTCTCATTAGAACTGCTATTTTATAGTCACATAATTTTAATGTACACTAATAAACATTAGACTATTAAGTCACATTGTTTAGGATATTACTGCTCAAGATGAGACTATATTAAAAAATAGAAAATTTAAAAAGGCAGCTAGGAAACAATACAAGTGGTGATCTAAAGGAAGCAGGAGGCTCTGTCATCAACACACGTATATATGTACACACACACACACACACACACACACAGAGTCAGTCTCTCACTCTCACCTTCAGTGCGCCTCTTCTTGGAGAAAGGGTAACCCTGAGGGCTGACCTCAGCTTGGTTTTCTTGAGGGCTGAGAGAGTGGCAGTAAGTGGTGACTGGACCCCAAGGACAGTTGGTTGCTTGGGGGACACGCTTCAGACATTTTTCCAGATAGGACAGGCTAAGGAAGGAGTAAGATAAAGAGGCTGAAATGGTTACTGGGTCCTTATCATCCCTTCTTTCTCAATTCAAATTTCTATTCACCACTGGCATTAACTTACAGCAGCTGTTTGTCTTGATGTAGGAGTCGAGGGGAAAATTCTGAAAGGAGCTCCAGGAATGCCAGGTTTGGGGGCTGATCAGAGGAGTCAGCTGGAGGTAGCTCAGACAAGGAAAACTTGATGCCTTCCCTTGGTTGAAAAGAATTATTTTAGATAGTCCCTTCACATTTCCCTTTCAAGGACAAGAAATCCTATCCGTGTGCATCTTCCCCATAGCTGGTTCTCAAGAGTGTGCCCACCCACCAACCTGATTTACTTTTTGATAGACAGTATCCCTTCTCCAAGACCTCACTCCCATTTCCCTTCTGGCTCTGCCCACTTAAGACCATCCAAGTACCTTGACTTTCAACCAGTACTTCCTTACTTGTGTAGCAGGACCACAAGATCACGGTTCTGAAGCTGCTGGGGTCCAAAGCTCAAGGCAAACCTCCGGGCTAGGTCCCTCATCTCAATGAAGGCTGGAAGCTCACTCAGGCCTTGGGACCCCTGTTCCTGCAGTAGTTCTGTGTACAACTGTGTCCAGAACACATGGTCCATTTGGGAAAGGGAAGAACAAGGTGTAAATAGGGAAATACTGCTTTAACCTCTCTACCCAGACATTCTATAAAGTCATATGTTACTTTTACTTCTTGCTTTCCAAAATACTATACTATCCCTGATCCCTGATATCAGTAAAAGCCTTTACCTTTGCTCTGCAACAATAAATAAAAATAGCTTTAGTAGTTGTGAAAGAAGTTGAGTGAAAATAGACCAAATGAAAATTGGGGATTCTCTATCACTTTACTGACGATGCTCTCAGCTAGTTGATAGATAAATGACTAAGGGTCCATGGGGACACTGTCCAGTTTTAAAAAAAATCCAAACTTTCTAAGCAACAGTAAGGTATCATGTACCTTTCATGAAAAGTAAGAGCTTTCATGTAAAGTAAGAGTCAAAATAAGCCAGGAAAATTTTTGGTCCTAAGAAAAGTTGTGGACTACAGATAGAACACACACATCACAGACCTGAGGTACTCCAGGCAGAAGTATGTACCTGTTTGAGGCTAAGCAGCAGAATCTGAGAACAGTGACTTCGGTCAATCTGCCTTGCTCTGGTTAATGTTTCCTTAATAATGTCACCATAGTCACTATAGAACTGAAGGAATAGAAATTAAGAGATGAAAGAGTTGTTTCCATGCCCGCCATCCTTCACAACTCTTAATATATCTGCTTCTAAGGCACTGTAGCAGGGAAATATAATGTTGTTGTTATGTGCCGCCGAGTCACTTGCGACTCATAGCGACCCTATGTACAACAGCCCTAAACTCCGCTCTGTCCTGTGCCAATCGCACTGTCTCTGACACTCCCATCCCAATTATACAAGTATAAAATAACTTGAACTAGTTCTTATCTCTAGCTCAGATGAAAAGTCTAGAAGAAATAGTTTAGACAAATAAATAAGGGAGAAAACTCTGCCTTGCACCCCTTGCTTGGGATAGCAAGTCGAACAGTGTCCACTCCTATCCAGAACTGAAATCCTTCCTGTCTGCCTCTCAAGGAAAACCAAAGTTCCAGGAAAGCAAAAAAGTTTGTCTGTTTGCTATACTTTTGTGTCACTGGGGTCCAGAATGATATTTGGCACATAGCTGGTGCTCAGTAAATGGAAATTAATGCAACAGTTAGCTGAGGAAACCAAGATACACATCTAGGCACCTTGTGAGGCCTAATCCTTTCAGCTTTCTTTTTCATTCCTACAATACTCCACTATATAGACTGTGCTGAAGAAAAGATTTATGGACAGGAAGGACATCATTCTCTTGCAATGAATTACTTCCTGTAATCTGCTTTCTTGTCATCATTATTTACTACTAAGCATCTTCTCCTTGTTCTCTTCTAAACCCCTGGTGACTCTACTCTGCTGCTCCTTTAAACCTGGCAGTCCATCTTCCTTTGTGTGGTGCTATTAATTGAAAGGAGCTCTGGTAGTGTAGCATGGCATGTGCTGGGATGCTGACTGTGAGTCAGAGGTCCAAATCCAGTTGCTGTGTGGGAGAAAGATGAAGGTGTCTCCTCCTGTAAAGATTTAAAGCCTCAGAAACCTGAGAGGGCCACCACCATAAACTGGAATCAAGTCAATGGCAGTAGGCCTGGCTTACAGTTTGAGGTCATGGCTATTTCCACAGGGCCTCACTGTACCTTGTTGTAGTGTTTGAAAACATCTGAGGCTGCATCCATCTCCAGCACCCCATACAGCAACAACTTGCAGAACCCGGCCAGGAGGCGGCGCCGCTGGTGCAGTTGCTCTATCTGTAAATGATCCTCTGGGGACTCACTCGGCCCTGAACCACCAAACGCAGAAAAGATTAAAATTACAAACTTATGCTCTTGACCTCTATGTGAGCCAGGCCCAACACCCAGCTCTTTCGTGAGACCCAAGTATAGAGTCGCTGTACCACTGCCCAGCTCTCCAGGCTGGATGAAGACACGGTCCATGAGGAAGCTGGCCAGCTCAGACTGCAGAGTGGCTTCAGGGGAAAAGACAAGGGGCCTAAGGAATTCGCGTCCTCCTGTAATCATCTGAGGGCTGAAGATGAGAAGTAGATCACTTAATAAGATAAAAGCCTGCTGGGAGGGAAAAAAAAATAAGCTTATAAAGAAATATTCACAAAGACAGACATCAAATAGCTAATTTTATCTCTTTAGAAGAGGGTCTCCCCAGACTAGGAGAGACAGCCCTGCTTCCTAACTGTCCCGGTTCGACTCTCACCTGCTCCTGGATCTCAGGGTCCATATCTGAGAGGCAACTCTGGCAGAGCTCACAGAAGGCCACCATCCTGCTCTTCAAATTCAACAGCTGCTTCTATGGAGACAATAGACAGGATTGAAGAAACGGATTCCTTCATTCCCTTACCTCCTTCTCAGATCAATACTCACCTGGGAAGTATCTGGTCCAGAAATGTGGGTCAGTGTCCAGAGGATGGAAAAATAGACGAGACTCAAGGCTGGAAGGACCACCTATTAGAAACCGAACACATTAGAAAAATGAGGCAAGAGAGAGAATGAAGGAACAGGGAGATGAAAGGGAGTAAAATGAGATTAGAAGGGACCAAGTTCCTTTTCTGGTGGACAAGTATTTATACTCTAGACAACTGTGAGAGGCTTCTTTTGTGGGCAGAAAATCTACCTCTAAGTTTATCTGAATTTCCTAGAGTCCTTTAACAGTGTCCTTGAAAAAGAAAGCCAGAATTTGTTTTCAGGCACTGTAAAGTAATAGCCATCTTTAAGAGTAGAACAGGATTGAGACAGTGTCATTTTCCTTCCTTTGCCCACACCTGGTGGTGGAATTTCCTAGGGGAGGGGGACCTCCTAGGCTACAGAAATCTCTGCCTCCATGATTCCACCTCTTCAACTTGCCTGACGAGGCACTTCTCCTGTACCCACAGCCTTCTGGAGGAGTTGGCAACATGGCTCGTAGAGCTCCCAGCGGGTAAGGTCATGAGCGCTTTGAGGAAGGGGAGGATAGGTAAATGTTAAACCAGAAGAGACTGCGAGGAACCACATCTCTAGGCTGCTAGGAAAAATACTAGAGAAGGACAAAAAGGAAGCTGCTCACTTGTAGAAGGCAGAGAGGCGCTTTAGAGTGGCTGCCAGATTATAGACTTCATCCTCATCTAGGAAGGCAGACTGTGGAAGGAAGAAAGTCCACAACAGGACTTTTCCAAGAGCTCATCTATCCGTATCCCCCTTCATATCCTATCATTTGGTCCTAGCTTCTACCTGCAGCAGCTCTTCAACTTCTTGCTGGAAGCGGTCCGTCAACAGATCCACCAGCTGGCTGCGAGCAAAGTCTACCCTGCTGAAGAACGTGAACTCGGGCTTGCAGAGCTGATAGAGGGCATGAGCCCCAGCTTCAAGCACTGCTGGCTCGGCATGCTTCACCACCACCTCCTGGAGTTGCTGCAAGAACAGCTCCAAGTGCTAGAAGATAAAAGGTAGGAAAGGATAGTATTGCAGGGCTGGGGGCGACAAGGCTTTTGGGGGGAAGGGAGAAGCTAGAGGAGATAAGAAACATGGAGGAAAATATTAAACTTTAAGGGTAAAATAAAAAGCTTATTGATTTTACAGAACCTAGGTTCCTCAGAAACAAACAGATCTCCTGCCTTTAGCAGGGCTAATAGCTAGGTATAGGAAATATAGTCTCCTCATCTGTTCACCTTCTCCAAACGTCCGGTGCAGTAGATGTTGAGGTCAAAGTAGTTGAGAAGCTGAAGAAGGGGAGCAACCTTCTCTGCATCAGCTGAGAACTATGATGATTGGAAAATGGAACATGCTCATTAGCTATCACATTGGCAATTCCTTTTCCTGCTTCTCTTCAAGGCCTTTCCTTTCACCTCCTCATTCCCTGGTGCTGAGACAGGGTGGGGATGGTGGCCCAGCCTTACCTTGGCTAAGAGGGGAGGCAGCAAGGGGATCAGGTGCTCTGTCAGTTTCACCTTGTCATCAGCTTGGATCTTACGTTCTTTAGATGTTAAGCCCTAGAATTCAAGTTATTTGGGGGTGGGGAAAAATGCAGACAAATTCTGAGTAAGGAGGGTGTAAATATACATCACAACTCTCCATGATACTACCTGCCAAAAAGAAAAAGATAATTCAACAACTCTCTTCAGATTTTTTCCCCAAAAAATGGAATTCTTCAAGGGACCAAAAAAGGGGCACTTGAAGATAAGGATCCCCAAATCCAAAACTCACTGCTATCAAGTCAACTCCAACGTAAAGTGAGTTAAGGTTCTGAAATTATACGTCTTTAAAGGAGGAACTGTCCATCTTTATCCAGTAAAGTGGCTGATAGATTTCAATTACTGAACTTTTGATTAGAAGTGCAACACTTGTTGTACTATGCCACAAGAGCTCCTTGAGGTAAGGAGAGAGAGCATTTGTCTGGATTTAGTGTTGCTATGCTCTACTCAACCTTACTCCTCATGCCATACCTTCCTCCCAGTGACCCGCCCCACAGGTGGGTGACCCTCCGAAGCTTGCCGGACACTGGACACCAGGATCTCTATCAGTGTGCTCTCCTCCATGTCATTCAAGTCTATTATGGAACAAAGTTAAAAACCAGAGAGTCTTCTTAGCCACTCTCTACTTCCAAGACCCCCACCCCCATCCCCATGGTATCGATCATGAACTCTCACTAGTCAAGAAAAGCACCCTCTTTCGATTTTAAGACTAGTGAGGAAAGGCCCCCTGCCTTAGGCTACCATGTAGTACACACTCTGCTCTTTCTCCAGCAGCAGCCCTGTCAGACTCTCCCAGTCCTTCAGCAGCGGCCCTGCACAGTCCCATAAGCTGTCCACTAAATAAGCAGCATGGTTGTGGAGCTGTGGAAGAGGATACAATTAAATTATTGATGTCACATTAAATAACACCTCCTACAGTGACACCTCCACCCCTGTCTACTGAGAGTCTTGGAATAACACACAGACAACTCCTTCCCATACATCACCTCACTTTCCACAAAGAAGGACAGCAGAAGCTGAAAGAACGTTCTCTGGGAACGAGGACTTCGGTGTCGTTCTCTTCCACCCACCATTATTATTCCACACTCAGGGTAGAAGAGCCTGGTGGGATTGACATGGGAAAGAGTGCAGTATGGAATGAAATAAAGAGTTTGCAATGATCACTGTGGAGGGAAAACATGACCTCAGGAGAAGTCCAAAGTTAAATGAAGGAAAGAGCTAAAGAAAATCCCAAGAAACTGGGATATGAAAGCAGACAGCATAGAGACTTCAGTAATAGGTGTAAGAAGTCCTCAGGAAGAGGAGCAGGTGTTGGAGAGAAAATTACAGAGGGTAGAGTTAAAGGAGTAGCACGAAAGGAGACCCACTCACTTCCAGTAGAGAAACTCTCCTGCAGCAGAGGCCAGAGCTCGACTGGAGGCGTACACTACGGGGTAGATGCTCTCACAGTCTGTGTCAGTCAGCACCCCTTCCATGTTCCTGCCAAAAAAAGGAGTGTGTGCATATAAAAAGTTATCTTCAAGCATAATTAAGCTTAAATTAAAAAAAATAAGGATTCAGCTAACTCACAAAGTACTTGTAAATTAATGGAAGACAGAGTATATGGAGAGTTAGAGAAGATGAGGAATCCTCCCATCCCCTGAGAACTTTTAACTCAGAAATGCTTGCTATCTTGCACCATGTACTAAGGTAAGTATAGAGATAGAATTTGGGAAGGGTCTACTTGATGCTGGGATGGTAAAAATCCAAGATTCCAGCCTCCCACTCCCCAAAACTCACTGAAGGATAAGTGTTAGCAGTTTGACAGCCTCTACTGCTACATCATACTCTTTGTCCATGACCATAGAAACCATCCGGTCCTGGAGGAAGAAGAGCACATTATCTCGTTTTCCCCACTCCAAATCATCACATTCTCTTGGACTTTCAGAAAGTCCTAAAAAGAGAGTGTAGAAGCAAATGCTAGGATTGCTATAAATGTATGAGCTGAAGTGGAAATATATGAGGTGGGGGAAAAGGGACTCACAAGAAAGAGAACAAACAAAAGAGGACTGTCCCAATTTTACCTTGAAGCGGCTGGTAAAGAGCTCTAGGCGTGCAGTCATGTCTCTGTTGCTATAGAGTCCTTTCAGAGCCTTCACACACTTTAGACGAACTTCTCGGTGCTATCAAGGGGGCAGGGGGGAAAGAATGCATATGTGACTAACAACTCTTCTATGCATCCCACTGAGCCGCCATACTTCCATTCTTAGAAACCCATTCTCGGCCTGGATGTCTTCTCTAAGATGTCTCAGAGACAATAAGCAAGAGTTTTCCCACTTTAAAAAAACACACAACAAAAACCCCTCAGCTACCATGCTAAAAGGATTGTGTAGGCACCACTGTAGCACTCTTATTACTGCCTTCCCATCATGATTTCTTGCTTATTCGCAAGAAAGTTTCTGTCCTTGCTACCTCAGGCTGAGGCATCTTATCTCCTGGGTAGGTCTTTCTCCCTTCCACATTACTCCATTCCTCTCCAGGACTAGAGCAGTTTTCAAGTTCAGTGGTTTGATAGGTGATAACTGCCTACTAGATAAAACACATAAGTGGCAGGACCTGGAAAAGCTGGAACCCTAGAACAGGGAAAAAGATAAGGAAAATAGGGAGAGGGAGGTAGAGTACTCTCACCTTATCATGCAAGGTCCAGCCAATGTACTTTAAATAGCTGTCGGTGAGAAAAGAGGTACTGTAACTCTGCATCCAACACCCAATCTCCTCGATGCAGATAGCACGGATCTCAGGAAGGACATCCCTAGAAGCAAAGATCAATTAGCCCATGCTACCAAATTAATTTTCCAATCTGCTAGATATTTCTCTAATATATAATAATCTATTTTCTTGGCTAACCATCATTTTCTACAACTTCCTATTTCCTCTTCCTAGTATACTTCCTAGTATGTATGTATTTGTGTATGTGTGTACATATCTATTTGTTATGTACCATCAAGTTGGAACTGACCAACACCTGACCCTCCAGAAGGTTTTTATAGGCAGTAAACTGCACAGAAATTGACTATATCCTGCAGAGCACCCGCATGTGTATGTATACATACACAGATGCATGACTGTTAGTACTGTTGACTATGACTTATAGTGACTCTATGAACAATGGATCTGAACCTTGTCCTATCCTGTGTCACTGTCATTATCTATGTAATACTTAAGCCCATTGCCATAGTCATTATATCAGTTCATCTCATGGCAGGTCTTTCTCTCTGACCCTCTTCCTTTCCAAACATGTCTTTTTCTAAGGACTGGCCACTCCTAACAACATGCGCAAAGTATGTGAGACCATGTTTCACCGTTCTTCCCTCTAAGAAGCACCCTGGTTGCACCTTCTCCAAGACATATCTGTTTGTTCTTCTGGCAGTCCATGGGATATTCAGTGCTCTTCTATAACACAATTCAAAGGCTTCAATTCTTCTTCTTCCCAATAGTTCCTAAACATCCTTATTCATTGTCCTACTTTCAGATGCACAGAAGTAATTTAAAAGACAATTACTTTTAAAAAAAAAGGCCATTGCTTAAATCAGGCACAACTTAGTCTTTAAACTGACATCACTGTTAACACCTTGAAGAGGTCATTGACAGATTTTCCCAGTGCAACACACTTTTGATTTCTTGACTGCTGTTACCCAGGTGTTCATCATGGATCCAAGCAAGATGAAATCACTGACTACTTCACTCTCTTCTCCATCTATCATTATGTTACCTATTGGCCCATCACAGTGAATATTCTTGCTTCCTTGATGTTGAGATGTAATAATCCATACTGAAGGCTGTACTCTTTGATCTTCTGCAGCATGCATTTCTTTTTTAAAATGATTTTTAATGCTACATATATTTTATAGCATATTCTTTCCATTTAATTTTTCCCCATTCATTCATTGTTGTACACTTTCCTCCCTACCCACCCCTTCCCCAGTTCATTTTTCTCTTGAAAAGAAAAATAATTCTTTCATTGTTATACAACTCCCCCCAAATTCACAGTCCACTTTACTATGCACTTCTTTTTTCTGGAATGCTGTCATGAAAATAATACCTAATCCGATATTCCTTTTAAACAGTTCTCTCCCTCAACTGTTTCAATGCAGTATACATTATTTATCCTCTCTTTTCTTAGGTTCCCCCCAACCATGATGTCTCTATCATTTTACAACAGTGGCACTACGCAGTATTTGTCCTTTCATGAGTATTTCACTCAGCATAATGTCCTCCAGGGTCACTCATTTTTAATAATATTTTATGAGTTCTTTGTTTTTCAATGCAGCGTAGTATTCCACTGGGTGAATATACTACCGCTTTTCTATCCATTCATTTGTTGATAAGCACTTGGTTTGTTTCCAACTCTTTGTGAACAAAGCAGCAATAAACATGGGTGTGCAAATATATGCTTGGATGTTAGTTATGGTCTCTTGGGATATATTCCCAGTAGTGGAATTGCTGGGTCAAATGGTATTTCTATATCCAACTTTTTGAGAAAGTGCCATACTGCCTTCCAGAGTGGTTGCACCATTTTACACTCCCACCAACAGCGAATAAGGGCTCCAGTTTCTCCGCAACCTTGCCAACATTTGCTGTCTGTTGCTCTGTTGAATTCTGCTATTCTTATTGGGGTGAGAGGATATCTCATAGTTGTTTTGATTTGCATCTCTCTTAGAGCTAGGGATTTTGAACATTTTTTCATGTGTTTGTTGGCCATCTGAAAGTCTTTTTTGGTAAAGTGTTCATATCCTGTGCCCATTTTTCAACTGGGTTGTTTATCTTTATCTTATTGTGGTGTGTATCATGCATTTCAAAACCTCCTCACTTTCAACAAGAAAAGTTGTGTTCTGTTTGTAACACAGACTGTTAATGAGTCTTCTCTGATACTGATGCCACACTCTTCTTCATAAAGTCTAGCCTATCAAATGTGTTTCGCTCACACGCACAAACTCAGACACGTTTTCTTGAACCATTTCTGTACTTCATCCTCCACTATCTTTTACAAGTTAATTTAACCACTGTCCAAATTACATGTACATTTTCATTCCATTTTAAGAAAAGGTCAATCTGCTCACTGGTTCTAGAAAATGAGAAATGTGGCCAAGAGTGAGGAATAATTATGGATGTTCTTTTAACCTTCGACAAATTCTGGAAAACAGTTTAAAACTCCCTTGCTCTCAGAAAATTAAACAACATCAGGAGCTAGGAAAAGGTTTGCCAGGCTTCACGCATTTCTCAGAAAAGCACTACTCTTGTCTTTCCAGGTCTCCATGTCCAGAAAGACTGGGCAGGAATAGGTTTGAGACAAACCTGAAGCAGAACACTCAGCAACATCCTATTCGATTTTCTTTCTTTAAAAGCTTAGATCCTGTGAAGGTAGGGATGCATTAAACTTTATTAATTTGAAAATCTGTTGTTAGTTTTAAGACAAATCACATGGTTGGGGGTAGGGAGCTTGTTATCCAACAAACTGTAAGAACCAGCAGCTTCAACTGAGGTTAAGTCCATTAACTCACCTGTACCGATGTACAAAAACACCTCTGAAGAGGGCATTCATCATTCCTTCAATCTCCTCTTGATGCTCTTGGAGCTGGAGAACAGGGAGGAAAACAGATCAAACTTTCTTGTACCCCAGTGGCATTAAGCTGCAAAGATACAGACGACTACATCTACTTCCTAGTCAATACAGTGCACAGTCTGAACTCCTAGTATTTTAGGATTCCTTTGAAATCTTCTAATTCTGAAGAAGCTGTACAAGGAACTATTGGGTTATGAATGTACAACTCAGAGACAACTCCTGCTTCAATGTTTCTAAATTTGCCATCAAAACAAATTCATCATAATCACATACATTTGAAACATGTGAAACTTTTAAACTACTGTGGAGGCTTAAAGCCTTTTCATGTACTATAGGTCATATGTACCTGCTCTGACTTAAATACAAATTCTAAAGAAGATACAGGAATGGACTTCGTTTGTACCCTGGTGACATACTGTACGGTTAAATGATACCTTGGAGGATTCTGGATATTTGGTGAAATATTATGCCTTCTGAATACGGTTATTCTACTATATTTGGCTGCTCAGAAGCCCCAGTTGGGAAAAATCACTTTATTTTAATGGTCTATGAGTATATCTTTTAATTGCATATGTTCTTTGGGTGGGGAGAACCCCTCTTCACTCGAGCCCCCTCGCTGTGGTTACAACCTGCGAAAACTACTTAGTAACTATAGCCTGTTTGACAGAAATGAAACTAGGGAAAGAGAAGGAAGAGATTAGTTTAATGGTTTCCAACTAAAGATGCCTTTACTTCCAACAGGACATTTAGAAGGAGCTCTAGAGGCTTCTTCTTGTTGTTATGGGCCATTGAGCCGCGAGCGACTCATAGTGACCCCTATGTACAATAGCTCTGAACCCTTCTCTATCCTTAGCCCATCTCAGTGTCTCTGACGTATCTACCCCCATTACCCTAGATACTACATCAATCCCTTTCTGGTGTGCAGTTTCAATCTAGCAGCTGCTCTACAGGAAAAAGATACGCATTTTCCTCCCATCCAATTAACTGTCTCTGAAAATCCTCTGAAGGGCCAGCAATGACTCTCTATGGTACACAAAAACAGGGATATTTGAGAGTGGCCAAAGTCACTTTTGGTTGTCATATCTAAAGGGTAGAAGCCAGGGATGCTGCTTCAAGAAATCCCGGATTACATGATGAATATAGGCAGTCCCCAGGTTACTTCTGATTTAAGGATTAACTGTTCCTCTTAGGTGCTGTCAAGTTGGCTCTGCATCACAGAAATCCCACATACAACAGATAAAGCACTGCCTCATCCTGCCTCTTCTGTCACAATCTCTGCTGTGCCATCTGTTAAAGCCATCATGCTAATCCATCTTGTGTTGGTTTTCCTTTTTCTTTTACCATCTACTTTTTTTTACTAAGTATGATTAATGTCCTTCTCCAAGGACTGACCCATCCCGTGAACATACTCAAAGAATGTAAGACTAAGTCTTACCATCCTAACTTCTAAGAGCACTATGGCTACTCCTTCTAAGATAAATTTGTTTGTTGTCTTGGCAGTTCCTGGTACGGCCAATATTTACCACAACACAACTCAAAGGCAACAATTTTTTAGTCTTTGTTATTCGCTGTTCAACTTGCACACAAATATGAATCCAAGTCAAAATAGTATGGTTTGGGTCAAGTGCACATGAATCTCCAAAGGGAATACCTTGCTCTTCAATACTTTAAGGAGGTCTTTGCAGTATGTTGTATGATTTCTTGATTGCTGCTTCCATGTCACCTGAATGTAATGTGGATTCACGTAAAAGTCAATCACTGACATCAATTCTTACTCCATTTATCGTATTATTTCCTAGCCCAGTTGTTAAAGATTTTACATTTTTTAAAAAAGGTATTTTATTCTAATAGCTATAGTTACAGTGCTTATTTGTTGAAATGAAAACTGTAAACAAGTATACAAAACAGTTGATTACTAATTGTGTAATGAAGACAGTAAGAGGTTCCACAACACCAAATAAACAAGTTCTGATGGGTTCTCCCCCTGGAGATAAAATTTAACAGCTCCGGCTTCTTCAGTGTTTGTCAAAATACAAAAGAAAGGCATGTAGAGGTCGTCTTTTTCTCACTGGCAAATGTGACCCTTGCAGGATGAGGGAGCAGAAGATACTTCACACATGTACAGAGAGGGATGCTCCGACAGGCTGTGGAATGCTCCCAGCTCGCACGCACCCCTATGCTCTAGGAGTCTGCTGCTCTGGCCAAGGTCTCTGAGTATGCACTGGGAGTAATGGGCTCTACTCTGGTTAAGTGGCCACAAAAAAAAACAGCAAATACCTGACCAAAATAAAGGTTGGTAGTTCTTTGCTTTCTTCTAAATTGAGAGCCCAAAGGCTGCTGCTCATGTCATAGCCAGTTGCACAGATACCTGCTCTGGGTCCTTATGAGTGGCCTAGAAGTGTAGGTCCCAGAGACCAAACAGAGGGCCTGCTGTGCTCAGAGGGTAGCCTGGGCCAAGCATAGCCTCAAAGCTTGTTTCCTTGGTAAACAAGTGAGCACAAATACAAGCACAAACTCTGAAACACCAGATGAATCAAAGACAGCGTAATTTCAGAGATCTCTATTGTGACCATGCAAAATTGATTGTGGGCTTCTTTTTGTCACCTTCTCTCACATTCCCAAAGGGAAACACAGATGATCATATGGACTAGTACTCAAGTTGTTACTGTAAAACCTACACTAGGTGTATTTTTCCCTTCTGTGTGTTCAAGTATTCTCCTTTATTGTAGCTACTTTAAAAAAAAATGCACTGAGCTCAGGTTAAAAACAAGTCACCAAAATGGATCTCAACACAGGTCTCAGATCAAGAGGAGGGCACTTGGCTCTTCTAGCACAGTAACTCCTGGGAGCCCAGGGCCAGTATGTGGAAATCTCTTCTGAGTACTGACTCACTAGTTGATTTTTCTTTTTTACAATAAAAAAAAAGAAAGAAAGAAAAGAAATGCTGAGTAATATTGCATAGGAGTACCAGAAACTGCTTCACTGGAAACAAAAACTAAATTAAAAATCTGTTTGCAGTCTGCATCTGCCACATTTACAAGATGGTGCATACACACTGTGACCAAACCCAGAGAGACAGCTTCTGGCACTTGACACCACAGAGCCTCACAGTTTGCCACATGAAAGTAAAGCAGAGGTTGGAGAGAGGAAGGAGGAGGAAAAGAAGGCACAGAGGGATGAGGACAGATCGCGGCTCATTTCTGGTTCCAGACCTTCATAAAGCCCATCTCTGCTGGTGGCACAAGGTAGCCTGAATGTACCAGTATCTGTAGCGAAAGGAGAGTGCAATCCCAGTTTATCTGTGATCTCAGCAGCATTCATGGCATTGGGAAGGTCCTGCCTGTTAGCAAACACTAGTAAGACAGTGTCTCTGAGCTTGTCTTCCGCCAAAGTCTTCATGAGCTCTTCATAGGCCCCATTAACGCACTCCTGGTCATTGCTGTCAACCACAAAGATCAAACTTTTGTGTGTTCTGGAAGTAATGGTGCCACAGGGGCCAGATCTTATCCTGACTGCCAATGTCCCACACAGTGAAACTGATGTTTTTTGTACTCAACAGTTTCCATGTTGAAACCTATAGTAGGCATAGTGGTTACTATTTTGCCAAGCTTTGTTTGCAGTCTTTCCTGCAGCATCCAGTCCAACCATGAAAACATTTCTTTTTTACCAAAAAGGCCCCTGAAGAGATTGGCAAAAATATTCCCCATGCTTGCAGACTGGTAAAATCAACACTGCCAGCAACATCTCCTGACGGCCAGGTGGCTGCTGCTGCTGTTGCTCAGAGACAGGTACTGGTCTTGCTCCTACAAAGACTTTACTTTTATGCTGAGGTGTAATCAATACTTAAGTCTTAAAGCCTTATTAAGTAATGCTTCAAGTCTTCTTGATTTTCTGCAAGCAAAGTTATGTCATCTGAACATTGCAGGTCATTAATGGATTTCTCTAATTTTGATGCCAAGTTCTTCTAACAATCTAGTTTCTCAGATGATTGGTTCTGCACACAGATTCAGTAAGCATGGTAAAAGATAACACCTAGCTTTCCTGATTTTAAACCATGCCGTACCCTGGTTCTGTTCAAAATTCTGCTTCTTGGTCTATGTACAGGTTCTGGAATTAAGTGTTCTAGAATTCTCATTCTTCCAATGTTATCTATAATTTGTTGTAATCCAGTCAACTGCCTTTGCATAGTCAAGAAAACACAAGTGTTTTTCTGGTAGTCTCTGCTTTCAGTCATCTGCTGTCAGCAATTATGTCTCTTGTTCCACATTCCCTTCTAAATCTACTTTAATTTCCCTCTTGCATTGCATAGAATTATCTTTATCAAAATTTTACTTATGTGTATTATTATTGAAATCAACTAGGATCAATCAGTTTCTACTCATGACAACCCTTCATCATTTTCTTTCTCTCTCAGAGCAGCTGGTAAATTTGAACTGCTGCTGTTTTGGTTACCCACATTAAGTGCTATGCCACCAGGATTCTTTATATTAACTATATTATGCCATAGTTTCTGCATTCTGTTAGGTAACTTTTCTTTGGTTGTAGCTTATATAAGATGAATAAAAGTTTACAAATCATATTGGTTTCATCCAATCATTCACATACTTTTATAATAATTAAATTATAATTTAATAATACAATTAAAATGTTTCACCAAATTCTTATTGTACTTTCTCTTCTCCTTTCACTCAACTTATCTATTAATTTTTGTTCCTGTCCCTCATTATCTATTTTAACTTTCCAAGATTGATTCTATGTGTAAAACCTTCCTTAGTTTTTTATATTAGTGTACATGAGGAAAAAGATGCATACAAGTGTACAGTATCTTTAAAATTCAAGATATACCTATTGTGCACATGGTTTTAAGATCATCTACTGAAGGCTGAAGGATGTTCAAGGAGAATGAGAGAAGGACTTCTCTAAAGATTTGGCATGGTGTTGCTGTCTGTTGACGGGGGTAGCAACACTCTGACAGGGTAAGCGTGGCAGAGACATACTACTCTGGGAGCATTTCAGAGTTGACTTAACTTTATTGGGGGTTACAGTGAGCCTATATGCAGGCAAGCAGAGGAAGACATGATGGGGTGGATTTGTAGATGTGGGGTATGCGGATTGGACAGGAGAACCTTAGCTCAGTGCAGACTACTCTCTTAGCTCAATGGATGGGGCAGCTTTCTTCCTGGGTGGCAAACTTTCTACATGGCACAGCCAAACACAGGAGACCTTTTTCTATCCCATATTAAGGGCTGATACAGGCCAGATAGGCTTGCACTTATCCAGAGCTAGGCAACTTGCTTCGGCCAGGGGTCTCCTCCTCTTTTCCAACACTCCCCAAAAGCATGGAAGAGACTTTTTATGAGGACCAGGGTGACAGCCAATTGACAGTTAGACATGGCAGGTTTTTCTAGACTATGGCAAAAATACCTCAGATAGAGAAGTAGAAAAAAGTAAGTTGGTGTTTGACTCATGACAGATTAGCTGTTTGAAGGTTTAATGAATATGAAGATTGTGCCAGGGTACATGGTCCAGCAGTCTTAAGTAAAAATGAAAACAAAGCCAGTATATGCAATGTTCTGGGCTAGGAAATGTACTCATTTCTAATCGTCACAAAATGGTGGGGATTATTTTCCCCTCTCTAAAGACAAGGAAAATCAAGTTTAAAGTAGTAATATAAGTTATTGCAGTAATGAAGTTAGTAGCTAACTGGAACAGAAGTCAAACCTAGGAGTGACTGAAAAGCCCTAATTAACTCCTGAAAAATCTGGCCTCTTTTATTGGTGGTCAGCCTCTGGTACATTCCTGTGAGGACTGTATATGATATACTTGACAAGAAAGTTAAAACTCCTTGCATGACATATGGTGGGACACTTAAACGTGTCTGATCATGGAGAGCAACATGGAGAGAGAGAACTCCTAAATTCGCTCTGAATTAGAAAGGTTTTATTGAGTCCATATCCCAGGAACAAGATGAGTATGCAATAAACTCTGATGGGATGGGTCTATGAAATTATTACTAGATACCACTGTTCATTATATTAAAGGCTATGTGGGGACCTGTGACAGACCAAGTAAAAAAACTGGGACTGCCAGTCTGTACTGGCAGTAAGTGGACGCTGGAGAACATGCAGGTCACATTTCTCACCTCTTTGTGTTTCTCTTGCAGGGTCTCCAGACGTTCGGGTGCTCTCTGCCCTGGGCTCTTGCTTCGTTCAGCCTCATACTGACGTTGATTATTGTCTTTATGCAAACTCAGTTGAAGAGCAACTTTTACGAGAGAGGTCATCAGTTTCATGGCTTTGAGTCAGGGAGAATGAGATGAGAAAATCATTATTTAGGTCAATAGAGGGAGAGAGGGGATTCCAAAAGAAGGAAAAGGAGAAAAGTGAAAATGAAAATCCAGAACTGGGTGGTCCTTTAAAGACTTAGGGTTGTGAAATAAACTTAAAGACTTAGGGTCGTGAAATAAACTCCCCCCCCCTTTTTTTAAACTTTTAGTCTTCTTTTAGCCTCAGCACATGGTAAGCTATGAAAAAAATGTTAAGGGTAGAAAATAACACTGGAGTCCACTTCTTTTTATAATTTTACTTGGGGAAACGTTAAGTGAGGTTTGAGATAAAAATGGGATGAACTTTTTTAACAGCTAAGATGCATATAAGGAGGATTATCCAAAATTGCAGAACAAACCTCAGGACAACGTCCATAGACTAAAATGAATATAAAAAAAAATATTAATACTCACCAGCCAGAGTGCTAGTGTGACGGAAAGCACGGACTTGGGAGTCTGAGAGGCCAGTGAGCAGGGAGATGAGATTGTCCATGGGGAAGCCATCATAGAGGAGGCTGTACTGGCACTGATAGACCAATGTCCTCACAAATTCACAAAAGCTCCCCTGGAACTTCTTCCAGGATGGGCCAGAAGCTGTCAAGGGATAATCCCCTGAATCCTACAGAAGTGTAGAAAGTGTAGAAGTTTGTAAGTATAGAAAAGTTATTATCAGATACATGAAGCCAGATGATGTTAAATGTCTAAATTCAATCGTATAGTAAAAACACGTTATGACTCATTTCCTGATATTCTTTCCACACTAGAGGCATAGTTCTCTAATATTTTTGTGTCCTTTTTATCATGAAAGACCAAACCACCATTCTAAAAAGATATTCTATTTTCCAGCAGCTGAAAGACTAAGGAGCCTTGTTTTTAACAAAGGAGAAGCAAAATCTTGGCTGTCTTTCACCACCTCATTGAACTGTTCTGTTAGGTGACGGATTATCTCAGAATTGGACATCTTCTTGAACATCTCAAGGGTCACAGTGCCTAAGAAATGAAAGAGATTAAGTGATTATAAGGAAAATGGTAAAGCACCATAACCATTTACATATATATATCTAAAGATGAATTATCAAATATACCAAAGAGAGCTTGGGTAAAAAAATCAGAAGACCTGAAGTCATATTTATAACTTTGTTACTATCCACCTTTAGCAAAAGACCTCTTTAGAAAACCCAATAGAAATATTGTGAAATACTAAGCAGCGGAAAATAGTAATTTTTTTAAAAAATAAGCAAATAAAAATCTGTAAAACTAGGCCAGATGCTAGGTTTTCATAATATGGCCTGAGATGAACTGCCCAAATAAAGTCATTGATGGCCTCTGCATATATCAAGGCTCCACAGCTTCAGAGGAGAAATATAGGATGAGGTGACTGAGAAATTAAGAAAATATATCATTGAGGGAGAGAAAGACTAACAGGGTTTTTATGGTCCATTTTCAAATATGTGGACATCATTATCTATTATATTAACATGATTATTTTTTTAAATGAACCTATTTCCAAATCTATATTGTTTCCTACTAGATAACCTTCTTTATTTAAAGATAAAATTGTAGTTAAGCAGGTGGAACTGTTTTTCTCTTTTCCCTTTATCTAGAAAATATCTAATTCTATTCATCAATAAGAATCTCGTAACACAAGAGAAAAGACTGGAATCTAAAAAGGGGGTAGGGATCTCCTCACCTTTACAGCCACAAGAGCGAATGAAAAAGTTAATAAGCTCTAGGAATCCTGCATCCTGGTCTTGCTTGTAGCCATCCAGCCACTCATCTACCAAAGTCTAAGGGGGGGAAAAAGTGGATGACTTCTATTTCTGGAAATATAGGCGACGAAAAATACTGAGTTATCCTTCCAAATGAATCCTTTAAACTGATTAAAGCACGCAAAAATATTTTAAAGTATATTGGATTATAATTAAATATACTATTTCAAAGGACCAAAGTTAAGGGAAAGAATGAACCCTAAAAGGGAAACTGGCACCCAGGCTGATTTTGTCCTGAAAATTTCTATGAAAACTTGGGAGACCTTCACTTTCTGTGTAGACAACTGCATGGGGTGCAGAGAGGGGACAGAATTCATGACAGGATCTTCCCAAGAAAGGGAATCTAAGAGATGGCTCCTACCCAGCAATAAGCCATTATAATAGTCATACCATCTTGAAAGCAACAGTGAGGAAACAGTTACCGGCAGAAAGAGACAGTAAGAAAACTAACCTGTTACAATCTGATTATAACCTTAGGGCTCAATCTCATTGCCATCAAGTCACAATGACTCACTGTTGACCATCTAACATGTTTCCAAGGCTGTAAATCACACAGGAAGAGACTGGCTATTCGTCTCCACTGGTGGATTAGAACTGCCAGAGAGGTTAGCAGTGTTATTCCCTATGGACTACACTACTAGAGTTCCCTTAAAGTTTATAAAAATATATTCATCACCACAAGAAGATAAAGGTAAATAATCCAATTGAAAAATGGGCACAGGATATGAACAGACCCTTCACCAAAGACGACATTCAGATGGCTAATAAGCACATGAAAAAATGTTCAAAATCCCTAGCTCTAAGAGAGATGCAAATCAAAACAACTATGAGATATCATCTCACCCCAGTCAGAATAGCAAAATTAAACAGAACAGCAAGCAACAAAAGCTGGCAAGGTCGTGGAGAAACTAGAACCCTTATTCACTGTTGGTGAAAGTGTAAAATGGTGCAACCACTGTGGAAAGTGGTGTGGCGCATTCTCAAAAAGTTGCAAATAGAGATACCATTTGACCCAGCAATTCCACTACTAGGAATATACCCCAAAGAGATGGTAACTGACACCCAAGCAGATATATGCACACCCATGTTTATTGCAGCTTTGTTCACAATAGCAAAGAGTTGGAAACAACCTAAGTGCCCATCAACAAATGAATGGATAGACACACTGTGGTATATTCACTCAATGGAATACTACACTGCATTGAAAAACAAGGAACTCATGCAATATTATTCAAAATGGGTGACCCAGGAGGACATTAAGCTGAGTTAAGTATTTCAGTCACAAAAGGACAAATACTGCATGGTGCCACTGCTGTAAAACAGGACTGACATCCGTGTTTGGGGGGAGACTGAGAAAGATGGGTTAAAGAATGTACACTGCATTGAAAGAGATGAGGGAGAAAACTGTTTAAAAAGGGATACGTGATTAGGTATTTTTGTCATGACAGGAGTCCAGAACGAAGGCTGCATAGTGGAGTGTACCTGGGGGGAGGGACTGTAAAACAATGAAAGAATTTTTCTTTTAATTTTCCAAGAGGGGAATGTACTTGGGGGGAGGGCTGGGAGGGAGGAAAAGTGCAACAATGAATGAATGGAAATCCAAATTCTCTGTAAATTTTCATTGAAATTAATAAGAAAAAAATTTTTTTAAACCCTTATATAAAAATATACAAAGATACATAATTTTCTAATGTTTCAACTTGTAATAACTTGTACACATTTCCCAGTTATTAAAACTTTCATAAACATTTAATTACTAAGTAATATTCCATGATATATATGGAATGTTGTCCTGTAACTAAATGCTTTATATATATTTCCTTAATGTCAGACACTAAAATGCCTTTCAATTTTTCACTACTGTAAAGAAAAGGCAGAATCTTCGTTTTGTGATGTTGTTGTTGTTGATTGCTGTCACGTTAAACACGACTCATAGTGACCCTATAAACAGAAGGCTTTCTTTCTGTAACTATCATCATTTATCAAAGTTTGTAGAGTTTCCAGAGGCGTGTTGTTTAGGAAGTGGATGCCACTCCTGCTTTCAAACCTGTCTTAAACTGGGAGCTACACCAAACACTGTCCACCACGGGTAACTGTTTTGGCATTTGACACCCAAATGGCACAAGGTTCAGCATCACAGCAAGCCCAGGTTACCTCTGCACACTATACCGACAGAAGAGTCAGTACCTCTTAGAAGAATATTTAACAACCAACTTTTAAATACAAAGGCCCTCCCTGAGGTCTTGCTGACTCTAAACATAAGGATTAAATAACAATCAATCAGTAGAGTGTTTTTGTTGTTATGTGCCATTGAGTTGCCTGTGATGTGTAGCAACCCTATGCACAGCAGTTCTGAACCCTTCCCCCTAAGCAAAAGAAACAATCTTCTATACAAAGTTGTTTTTCTTTCACTCTAAAAAAATTCTCCCATGATCTTATCTCTTTCCTGAGATAAGAACTCTTATTCTTATTTACAAGAAATGTCTACCTTACATCAAGTTTGTAGAAATTTGTCCTTCAAAGATGGTTTAAGAAACAGCAAGATGCTCTGCTTTACCTGCATGTCACTTTTGGCAGCTTTCACAGCATCAAAGAGATTATTGGCTGGTGGTGACTCTGGCTTTTTCTGGTGACGATCACGTACCACTCGGGGCCTTTTCTTTGCTTGTTTTGCCACCTAATATGCATAAGGAGAGTAGGAACATGGGGCAGGGAAAGAGGGAGTAATTCAAACAGTCTTATTATCATCATTTAGCTGACCTTAAGTTTCCAATTCCACACCAGAGTCCGAGCTACTGACTCAGATGAGTTTATTATTTTGTTATGAACTTTATCATTTGTAAGTTGTTCTCCTTTTGAAAACTCTCTAACACCCATCTATTATTTTCCTTCAAAATTTCTTTCCACGTTCACCCCGAAACACCCTCTAAGTCTAATCCTTTCATCAACCATATTCCAGACCAGGTTCAAAAATAAAAGGCTGACTCACTGGAGTTGTTCTGAGTGGCCGTTTTGCTACTCTCTTCTTCACTTTGCATCTCAAGTTATCTTCAAAGTCACTGCCTTCATCCGCAGATAGTGAGTCACTATCTCTATGAGAAAGGGAGAAGTTCAATCTGCACTGAAGGCATTTGCAAAAAAATAAAGTCCCATGATAAATGGGAAAAGACTGAAGTTGATAATGATTTCACCTTACTTGGATCCACAATCAACACCTTTGGTACCAACAGTCAGGAGATGTATTACTTTGGGCTAGTATGCTATGAAGACTTCAAATTACTGAGGAGCTATGATGTCAGTTTAAAGTGTACCTGACTCAGGCCATGGTCTTTTCAATCACTTGCATCTGAGAGCTGGACAATGAGTAAATATGACAGGAGAACTACTGATGCCTTTGAACCATGGTGTTTGAAAAGACTACTGAATATTCCATGGATGCCAAAGAACAAAAAATTATGTCCTGGAGAGTGTACAGCCAGAATGCTCCTTGGAGGCAAAGTTGACAAAGCTTCATCTCACATATTCTGGGCATGTTGTTAGGAGAGCAACATCATGCTTGGAAAGGTGGAGGATCAGCAAAAGACAAGACGACCAATGAGCTGGACTGACATAGTGACTGCAGCGATGAGCTCAAATTTGTCAGAGATGATGAAATGGGTTCAGATGTTTTGTTCATAGGGTCGATGTGAATCATCCTCAACTCAAGGGTACCTAACAACAACGACAGGAATTGATATGTTTCAACAAACATATGCAGCCCTGAACATATTCACTAGTCTATGCCAAGTAACTTGCAAGACAGCTAGTTGGCCAGCTGACTGGAAGAGATACATATATGTTCCCATTTCCAAAAAAGATCCAATAGAACATGGGATTTATTGAACAGTATCATTATCACATGCAAGTAAAATGCTGCAATAATACATGGACAGGGAACTGTTAGAAATTCAAGTTGGATTCAGAAGAGGTTATCACTAATGATGTCAGATGGATCTTGGCCAAAAGCAGAGAATATAATAAAAGTGTATTCTTGTGTTTTAGTGACTATGCAAAAGCATCTGACTGTGTAGCTGATAAAAAACTATGTACAGTGCTCGCTTCGGCAGCACATATACTAAAATCGGAACTATACAGAGAAGATTAGCATGGTCCCTGCGCAAGGATGACACGCAAATTCGTGAAGCGTTAAAAAAAAAACAACCACAAAAACTATGTATAATATAAAGTAGATGGGAATTACAGAACCTTTAAAACTGTGGCTCATGAGAAACATATTCATAAACCAAGACACTGTTGTCCATGTTGAATGAAGGAACACCACATGATTTAAAATCAGGAAACCTGTGTATCAGATTTTTATCCTTTCTCCATACCTATTCAATATATATGCTGAGTAAGTAATTTGAAAAGTTGAACTATAAAAATGTAGCATTAAGATTGGAGGAAGAGTTATCAACAACCTGCATTATGGAGATGACCCAGCATTGTTTGCTAAAAGAGGACAGGCCTTGAAATATCTGTGGAAGAAAATCAAAGGCTGCAACAACAAATGCTGGAGAGGTTGTGGAGAAACTGGAACCCTTATTCACTGTTGGTGGGAGTGTAAAATGGTGCAACCACTATGGAAGGCAGTATGGCACTTTCTTAAAAAGGTGGAAATAGAAATACCATTTGACCCAGCAATTCCACTGCTGGGAATATACCCTAAAGAAAGGAGAACTGCCACCTAAACAGATATATGCACACCCATGTTTATTTCTTTGTCCACAACAGCTAAGAGTTGGAAACAGCTAAGCACCTAACAACAAACGAATGGATAGAGAAGCTGTGATATATTCACACAAATACTATGCTGCATTGAAAAACAAGGAACTCATGAAATATAAAAAATGGGTGACCCTGGTGGACATTATGCTGAGTTAAATATTTCAGTCCCAAAAGAACAAATACTGCATAGGACAACTGTTGTAAAGCTGGACTAACATCACGGTTAAGGGGAAACTATGAGGGGATAAAGAATATATACTGCATTGAAACAGATGAGGGAGAGAACTGTTTAGGAGGAATATATGATTAGGTATTATTATCATGACAATAGTCCAGAATGAAAGTTGCATAGTGCAGTGAACTGCAGGAGGATTGTATAACAATAAAAGAATTTTTATTTATTTTTTTTTTACTTTTCAAAGAGAAAAGTGAACTGGGAGGGAGGGGTGGACAGGGAAGAAAGTGCGCAACAATCAATGAATGGAAATCCAAAGACTCTGTAAACTTTCATGAAAAGAAAATCAAAGGCTGCACCCTTCCAGTCTTTAGAAAAAGACATTATGTTAGGAAAGCTGAAGGGTCAGATAAAAAGATATTCCACAAGATGGACTGACACAGTGACTGTAACAATGAGAATGGGGCAGGATAGAGAAAGATTCACAATGGCTAATCTGTTGTTCCAACAACATAGAGTTCTATTGACCTAGTGGATAGAAAGTTATGCTACCTTTTGCTGAAGGAGGGGCAATCTCCTCCTGTACCAGTCGGATCTGACTCAATGGTACACACACAAAAAACAGTAACATTTTTTTAATAAAAAGTTATGCTACCAAGCCAAAGGTGGGTGATTTTAACACGTGTCCCGCAGGCCTGCTTTTAATTGTTTTTGGTCAAACATTCATCTAAGTGGTATAGCACTGGTCTGTACATTTGCTGTACAGAGGTAACCTGTGGTTGCTGTGATGCTAAACACTGTGACACTGATGTGTCAAATACAATAATGGTTACCCATAGTGGACAGTGTTTGGTGGAGAAGTGCAACAATGAATGAGTGGAATCCTCAGTCTCTGTAATCTTTCATTAAAATTAATAATAATTTTTAAAAAGTAAAAAAATAAAACAAAACCACCAATCAGACTTGGAAACAGGAGTGGCATCCACTTTGGAAATAGCTTGCTTCAGAAACTCTATGAACTTGGAGAAATAATCAAAGTTATACAAGTGTTCAGGTCTTTCGTTCATAGGGTTACTGTGAGTCATCTACCACTCGATGGCACTTAACAACTTAGTTGTTAACATTCACATTCACAGTGTCACTATGAGTTGTAGTTGACTCAATGGCAACAACATGCCTATGAGAGAATATAGCTTCCCCTAACTACAATATCTCCTATTAAGTCTTTATAAGGAGTAATGACTTATAATGGCTGTTTGTTTTACACCCCTCTTCATGAGAAAAATATGTTTCATATTTTCTGTTCTATAAAATATTGAGGAGTAATTATTATTTTTTTTTGGTGTACCGCTGAATCAGATCCAACTGGCACAGGAGGAGATTGCCCTTCCTTCTTCAGCAGAGCATCTGGTGGATTCAAACCATATGCTTTTGGGATGACAGCGCAGCTCTTGCCTCTAGGCCACCAGAGCTCCCTGAGGAACAATTATTTTAAATTCTGTGATATAAAGCAATGGAGGTGAATAGAAAACTAAAGTTCTTTCAAAACAGGAAAACCATATTATATTCACTTAGGCAAGCACAAGGATCTGGTGGTGAAAAATCAGTGTACTCAGTAAATCAAGTATTACTCAGGTATAACCAAAGATTAACATATACCTGCAGTTCAATTTCACCCCCCTGAAACATAACTATGTGTTTTCTTAATCTGAATAAGTTTTACAACATTGATATAATCTGGTACCCCAAAGAAACACTTATTCTGAGGGCAATTAACTTGACAAGGAGCTAAAATAGATCTTTTATGAAGTTGGGTTTTGTTCTGAAAGACAAAAACCAAGACAAGACACAGGAAGATAACCTTGAAAGTATAAACTTGTAAACAATAATGGATAAGGATCTACAGATCCATTTACAAAATCCCCAAAATTAGAGAACTATATAGGGTTGTGGTTGTCGATTGCATTGAGTCGAGCGTGACTCACAGTGACTCTATGAATAAAAGACCTAAATGCCTTTCCATAACTGTCGTCATTTCACCAAGTTCATAGAGTTTCCAGAGGCATGTGGTTTAGGAAGTGGATGTCACTCCTGCTTCCAAAATCTCCAAAATTAGAGAACTACAGGGGCAAGAAAGGGAAGAAAAAAAGGAAGGAAGGAAAGGAGGGAGAAATTATATATATGTCTGTTGGACTCATAGCTGAGCCTCCAGCAGATTTTCGGAGGCTGCATATCACACAGGAGTAGACAGATCTGACTGGTACAGGAGGAGATTGTCCCTCCTTCTCCAGCAGAGAATCTGGTAGATTCGAACTACACGCCTCTAGGATAGCAGTGCAGCTTCTTGCCACTAGGCCACCAGAGCTCCCTCAGATTGTGAATTTTAAGCACTTGCCTTTGAGCTGGCCACACAACTCCTGACCCCCAAGGCCACCAGAGCTCTTTATGCTGTTTGTTAGGCAACTTTTGACTTCTCTTTCTCCTCCCCGGCCCTCAACAACAGTTGCACATGCTGAGTCCATGAAGGTGCTAGAGAAAGGTTTGGACAACTTGAATGGTGTTTACAACATCTTGTTGTATGTCATTGATGACCCTCCAGCAGGTTTTCAGAGGCAGTCAATCACATGGGAGGAGACTGCCTATCCATGCAGCTGGTGGATTCGAACCACCTGCTTTGGGGATTGCAACACAGCTTCTTACCACCAGGCTACCAGGGCTCCTATAATACAGAGAGCAATTTAAAAAGAAAATAAAAAGTTGAAGGGAATCACTGAACCAGTAGAGCATTTATGTCCTCTTAAGAGTGACACTCCTTGTCATCAATTCTGTAAAACTGTAGGAGAGAAAGCTGCCAACGACAAGGTGAGAGGGGACAAGGTCAACCACTGCTCCCACACCCCACTCACCCCTCTGACGGCGGTCCCGCGTCCCTCGCGTCCATCTCACCGTACAGCAGGTGGCCGGGGGAGCTGCATGGCGGCCACAGGCCCTTCTGGCCTCCTCTGTGCAGAGAGGATGCCACGCTGCTCGGGGAGGACGAGGACCGCAGGGTCGGCATTGGGGAACCAGCTGGGGGAAGACAAGAAGGGAAAGGGCTCCCACCACGCTCCTCCATGGCCCGCCTCCCTCTACAAGACAGTCGTTCTCTTTCTGACGCTCTATCATTAACAACAACGAATTTCACATCCCAACTCGCAGGTCCTGCATCGGCTTCTTTAAAATACCTTTATTATTATTATTATTATTATTATTATTATTATTATTCAGGTGTTGAGGACTCTCCTTCATAGGTTCGCTATGAGTGCCTGCGACTCGACGGCACTGAACAATTATTATTAAACCTTTATTTAGCAATTTATTATTAAACCTCTAATAATTTATTATACCTTTATTTAATAATTTATTATTATTAAACCTTTATTTAGTAAATATTTATTTATTATTAAACCTTTAATTTATTATTTTTATTATTAAATTATATTATTATTATCTCTTTACAAAACAGACTCTATTTAAATCGCTTTCTCTGAGGCGCCAGGCGGATTCACACCGCTGACCTTTCCGTTAACAGCGCAACACATAAGGCACACCACCAACGAACTCCTTAACAATTAAAAAAAAAATCATAAACAACCAACTTCTAGTTCTTTATCGAGGGTATGGAGACCCCCATCTCCAAAGACAGTGGCTTCGGGAGAGACCACGTCCCAGGAGCGGCTTCAGAGACTTGCCACGGGCGGACTGGAAAACTGAATTCAAATAAAATAAAAGCGAACCAAACACCCGGACTTTTCACTCCTGACTCCACCCCGGGAAGACGGGGTGCAGCCGGGAAGCCCAAAGAGTAAAGGGAAAGCTTGCGTCCTCTGGTTTTCCAGAAGGGCCACCGCGGATCGAGGATTAACCGCCAGCAGACGCTCTGGGACTGGGGTTCAGGGCGGGCGTCTGTGAAGGAGGCTCCGGAGGAGGGGCGCCCCTAATCTCAGGGGTAACCTGGGGCCTCAGAGAAACCTCACTGTCTGAACCCGAAAGAATGACTTTTGGCTAAACAAAGTTGAGGGAAAAGTCACCGCCTCAAGTCTCTCTGGTTTCTGAGTTCACGCCACCTTCGCCATAAACGCCACTTTCCTCTCAGCCAAAGAAGTCAGAGGAAAAAAAAACAAAACAAAACAAAAAACGCGGGAAAGCACGAAGTGCGCCTCACGCCGTCGCAAAGCCCCAACGGCTCGCCCCAAAGCGGCAAAGTGTCGCGAGGCTTGGGAGTCCCGGAGCCTTCGCTCACCACGTTCCGGTGACGCTGCTCCCGCAGCCTCGTGCCGCCACGCGCTCCCGGGCGTGCAATCCCGTCACGTGGGCTCGGCCGCGCCCGCCGCACCGCCTTTCCCTGCTCCACCCCGCCCCATCTGACCGCAAGTCCTCCTACCATTGGTTGGTCTCGGAGCTAGACAAATAGTAACCCCTTCAATCTACTTACTCTACTGCCATAGGCTGGATTCCACCCAGACTCCGCCTCTCGATCCAGATCGCCACGCCCCTGAAAACGAGACCGCCACGCCCCCTAAGAAAGGCGACCACGCCCCGCCCCCTCGCCTACCACCTTTTTTCAGCTGTGTTCCGCCTCCTTGCCGAATTTCCCTATTGCATTGGTTTACAATCTTACTTGACCACGCCCTTAAGCCCGGCTCTTTGCCATTATTGGTGGCGCCCCGCCTCGAGCCCCACCCCCTATCCAGCTCCCGGCTCCCATTGTCTCGGCAGATGCTTCACGGTCCATCTATATCGTGCTCTGTGTTCAGTTTTGGGGGGTCGTGCTCTTTCTCTGTTCGGCGGCGTTGTCCCAAGGGGGGAGAACCAGTTTTTTTAATTTGGGCATTTCTTCTTTCCTCTTCTGCACGCACTTTGCTGTCCCAGGACGGCTGCAGTGATGTCTGTGCTGCGACCTCTCCTGCTTCTGCTGCTGCCTCTGTGTCCTGGTCCGGGTCCCGGACCTGGGATCGAGGCAAAGGTCACCCGGAGTTGCGCTGAGACCCGGCAGGTGCTTGGGGCTCGGGGATATAGCTTAAGCTTACTCCCTCCCTCTCTGATTTCAGGTGAGGATAAAGGCTAGAGAATTGGGGGCGAGGGCAGGGGCGGGTCCTCCCCATCTCACAATAACTCTCTTCCCTTTCGGAGTAACCGTTAACAATCTTCTCATCCCATAGTAATTGTCTCTCTTCCTGTAACTTCATTACCGAGATCACAATTATCCTGCTGTTCACATTACAATCTTTTTCCTCCGCCCCCACACCAGGAACCCTTTTCTAGTAATTAGTATACCCTATACACACAGCCCAGTAAGTTCCCCTCCCTCTCTATGTTCATGAAGTCCTTCTAAGATAATGCATTTTTACTCACCAAGAAACCTTATTACTCCAAATCCCATTCATCCCGTAGATGCTGTATTCTAAGTCCCTAGAGGCTGGTGATGTGTGATATTGGGGAGGGTAGTCAGAAGGCCCTCTGGCCATTCATTTGGCCCTTTAGGGCAGTGGTAAAATAGATGATCCCATGGTTAAAGAGAGTGAGTGGGCTTGGAATGGGTGAAGAGACAGTAAGGAGGGGGATAGGTTCAGGTGGGGGATGAGGGAACAGACAATAGCAAAGAGAGCAGATAGGTAGAAAGGAAGGAAGAGCCCCACAGATAAGTGAGTTGTTGTGTACCATCGAGTCCCTACCGACTCACAGCTGACCTTCCAGTGGAGGAATTTCATGATATGACTTCTCACCATTCATTCCTCTGTTCAGGTGAGCACCTGCGGGTCTGTCCCCAGGAATACACCTGCTGTTCCAGTGAGACGGAGCAAAGACTGGCCAGGGAGACAGAGGACACCTTCAGAAGCCTGGTGGAGGAAAGCGGTTCCTTCTTGGTCCACACGCTGGCTGCCCGGCACAGAAAATTTGATGGTGAAGACCTGGGATCCCTAAACCTGGCCTCACACCTCTTTGTGCTCATGATCCCAATAAGCATCTTATCCTGGCTTTCTCATTCATTCCTTGGGTACTGGGCCCCTCCCTAGCCCTGGGGCTTAGCCCTTTATGGTCATCCCAGGCTCTCTTTAGGGCCCTGGCCCCTCATTCCCAGTCTGGTCAAATATCTGAGACTTACTCTTTCTAACTCATTTGTCTTCCCCCCCCCCTTACCCCACCCTTCTTATCTCTGCCTTTTCTATCCTCCTCTGGCCTTGTCTACACCTCACACTCCTTCCTTGCATTTGTCACAGAGTTTTTTCGGGAGCTGCTCTCCGCATCTGAGCATTCCCTGGCCCAGCTTTTCTCCCGCTCCTATGGCCGACTGTACGCTCAGCACGCCCCCATTTTCAGTGGTCTGTTCTCTCGGTTGCGAGGCCACTATGGAGGGACCAGTGGGGGGTTGGATGATACCTTGGCTGATTTCTGGGCACAGCTCTTGGAGAGAGCATTCCCCCTGCTGCACCCACAGTACAGCTTCCCCCCTGATTACCTGCTCTGCCTCACGCGCCTCGCCTCTGCTGCTGATGGCTCTTTGCAGCCCTTTGGGGACTCACCCCGCCGCCTCCGCTTGCAGGTGAGGGGCCCCTGAGACCTCAGCCACCTCTTACCCTCCCTTTTATGCCCCAGTCATACATGATCTGGTGACCCTTCCTTTATGCATCACAGCTACCTCTGTCCTTCATCTTGGGTTGTCCCTCGTTACCTGATCAAGTGCTCCTAAGTCTTCTTTTGTTGGATGTGTCCCACCCCGATTCTGTGCCCCAGTTTCATACAAATCCCTGACCCACTCACCAGCTCCTGACTCTCAAATTCCTTTATACCAGTTCCCCCCAAAACTAACCCCTGTGCTAACATTCTGACTTCTGGTTCACTTAAACATGAAGTAGTCACTGATTTGAGGAAGATTTTAATTTCTCTCATTTAATTGTCACCATCAATCTGCTAAGCAGATGGTGGTATCCCAATTTTCAGATGAGAAGAACTGAGACCGCCAGAGGTTAAAATGTCACAAATGGTGGTGGAGCTGTGCTTCACACTCAGGCCTTCAAGTTCAGTGTTCTAATACGCTGTTCCCTGTATAATTTCTCCATCTCTTCTCAAACCCCTTTCCCCTTAATCCTTTGAGACTATAATCCCTGAGGGCCTTTCAAACCTACTTCCCTACTAGATATCCCTAAACTAGCACCCTAGATAGCCTTCCAAACCTACCCCCATTCTTCTGACCGCCCTCGAAGGTAGTCTCTTGGTTCTGGTCTTGATGGACCCACCACTCCCTGGAGTGTTTCTTCCCTTCTCTAGATAACTCGTGCTCTGGTGGCTGCCCGAGCCCTTATCCAGGGTCTGGCAACTGGAAGAGATGTGGTCAGCACAGCACTTAAGGTTAGAGGGGTTCCTGGGGACAGAGAACCCGGGGAGGGAGAGGTAGAACTGAGAAGTGCTCCGTGAAAGAGTCAAGTGTCAGCTGGCAGGAGAGACCTCCTATCCCTGATGTCTCAGGAAGGAGAGTTGGAGTGAAGCGTCTCTTGGGTCATGATCTGTGACCTCTGACCTGCCCTCTGATGACTCATATCCCCCAGCCACCCTCCAGGGGTGCCCAGGAGTATTGTCCCCCCACCCCACAGACCCCAGAACCCTTCTATGGCTTCCTCTTCCCTATGGATAAAGGTCAGATTCCTTACTTGGGCTTCCAGGCCGTCCCCTCTAAGGTCCATCTTCTCCCTGACCTCCCACCCTTCCCTCCTGTTACTTCCATCTAGACTTCCCCCACCGCCCTCCAATCCTCCTCACTGCCTTCCCCCTCCCCACCTACAAAAGACTTACTCTTATCCTTTGCTCTTTTCCTCGCACCACCTACTCCATTTCTGGTTCCACCCCTCCCTTGAAGCAGCCCCTCAGACCCTCATCTCAGAGCTGTGGCAGTCTTGTGGTATCTCCTGCCCTACATGGTCACTTAGCCTAGACACTCCCACATGAGCCAGGGAAGGAGGGTGGGACAGTCATTTGTTAGTGTCTCTCAACACCTATCTTGGCTGAGGGCAGCTGTGGTGTTTGAGTGACATTCTCTTGCTCTCTGTCCCCAGGTGTCCATGTCTGAAGGCTGCAGCCGAGCTGTCATGCGTCTGACGGGCTGCCCCCTTTGCCGAGGGGTCCCTTCTCTGCCACCCTGCAGGGGCTTCTGCCTCAATGTGGCCCGTGGTTGTCTTAGCAGTGGGGGACTGGAGCCTGACTGGGGGGGCTATCTGGGTGAGGAAGCTATAAGGCAGAGGCTGCCTTGGTGTGGAGGTTGGGGGGATCCTAAAGCCAGATTTGAGGGAGACAGGAGACAGTTATCCTTTGATAACACCTTGCTCTTTCCTCTAAGGCCCATGTGAGGTTTTATGGGGGAAGCCTCATTCCCTGTGTCTAGGTGACTGTCCACTCATGTCACTCTTTCTCCATTTCCTCCCTTCAAGACGCTCTCCTGCTCCTGGCTGAGAGACTCCAGGGCCCCTTTTCCTTTGAGCTGGCAGCTGAGTCCATTGGCGTGAAGATTTCAGAGGGTTTGATGTTTCTGCAAGAAAACAGTGTGGGAGTGTCAGCCCAGGTACAAGGACGAGAAGGCTAGGGGTGACAGCTTTGGAGTGGATTACAGTAGAGGGTACCAGCCTGGGTTCTAGGAGAGAAGGGTGAAGGTGGAGTGACAATATGGGGTGTCTGGGTATCTAGAGAGACTGTGGGCTTCCCAAGGGGGTGAGGTATTGTGGAGATTGCAGTGTTGAAGTGAGGAGAGTGTTGGAGAGGTTCACTTCAATGGGTGCAAGGCTGTGTGTGCGGTCAGCTCCAGTGAGAGAAGCCGATGGGCAAAGATCCATGAAAAGTGCCCTTTCTTCCCTGTGCCATAGGTGTTTCAGGGGTGCGGGGGGCCCTATCCAGCGCTGACCCGCACCCGCCGAGCCCCGTCGCCCCGGGAAGAGGCAGGCCGGCTCTGGACGTCAGGGGCCGAGGAGGAGCGCCCCACCACGGCGGCGGGCACCAACCTGCCCCGGCTGGTGAGTGAGGGTGGGGCGCTGGCCGGAGTCCGAGGGCTCATCCCCTTACACTGGCCTCTCGCTTTCCTTCGCAGGTGTGGGAGCTCCGTGAGCGGCTGGGCCGGGTAAGAGGCTTCTGGACCGGGCTGCCCCTGACGGTGTGCGGGGACCCGCGCATGGCGGCGGACATCTCGCAGGAGGCGGCTCCGTGCTGGACCGGAGCGGGACGAGGCCGGTGAGCGGCCGGCGGGGCTGGCTGGGGCGGCGGGGCGACGCCGAGGACGCGCGGGTGGCGCCGCAGCTCCGGGCCTGCTCTGCTCGCAGGTACCTGCCGCCTGTCGTCGGGGGCTCCCTAGCGGAGCAGCTCCATAACCCAGAGCTGGAGGTGGACGTCTCGGGGCCCGACCTTCCGACGCGCCGGCGGCGGCTGCAGCTCCGGGCGGCCACGGCCAGGATGAGGGCGGCCGCCCTCGGACACGACCTCGATCTGCAGGACGCGGGTGAGACCCCGGGCCGCGTCCCCCTCCCCCGGGACTCTCTGCTTCCGAGGCGCGCGGGGTCCTCGGCTCCACCCCGCGGGGTCGGCGTGAGCCCGCCCCAGCCCCGCCCACGGCCTCGAAGTCCCGCCCCTCGGCGCGCAGTTGGCAGCCTGGCCTCTCGGAACTCTTAGATTGCCTTAGATTTCCTCTCACATGTTGATTTAACACACCTTTATCAAGCGATTATCTCAAGGATAGAGGAGACCAAATGATCAGTGAGAAGGTTTCTACCCTTACGTTCTCGACCTAAGTGAGGAAGACACAAAAACATTCCCACAGAGCAGCAGGAAACATGTTATAATGGCAGTGGGTGAATAAGAAGGGTGGGCAACTCCAGGGGTGTGGGGAAGGGGTGTGTGTGTGTGTGTGTGTGTGTGTGTGTGTGTGTGAGAGAGAGAGAGAGAGAGAGAGAGAGAGAAAGTGAATGTGTGTGTGTGTATATATGTATGTTACGTTTGTGTGTGTGATTTGCCAGCTAAGCAAGGGACAGTCATTCATAATTTTACTCTCTCCGTCTCCGCCTCTCTTTGCCCCACCCACCCGAACCGTCTGTTCCTTTGCTTCTCTGCATCTGTTTTCTCTGGCTTTTCCTGTTTATCCTCTCTCCCCATCTGTTTGTTCTCTTATTCTTTACCTGCCTCATCACTTTCTTATTCCCCTGGCTGTCTGATTTCTCTTTCCCCTTCTCTCTCGTCTCTTGTCCTCCCTCCCATTGCTCCTGGTCTTTCTCCCTCCACCTATTCCCCCCTCCATTACATTATGTGTTTCTCTCCTCTCTCTCTCACGTTCGTTCTGCTTGCGAATCTCTCTGCTTGTGTATTTCTCCCTGTTTCCCCTTTTCTTATTTGACTTCTTTTCCCTTTCTGCAGATGAAGACGGCAGTGGCTCCGGAGGGGGGCAGCATTACGCTGATGACTGGATGGCAGGGACAGCAGCAGTGGCCCCCCCAGCCCGCCCTCCTCGCCCTCCTCGAAGGGACAACCCTGGGGGCAAAGGAGGTGGTGGTTCCCGCCACAACCAAGGCAGGAGCAGGAGTGGGGGGTCGCCTGTTGGTTTCCGTACCCAACCCATCCTCCTCCTCTTCCTCTCAGCCCTGGTTCTGCTTGGACCGCGATAACAGGGGATGGGCGCCCTAGCATCAGAAGGGTTCAAGGCTCTTTCTTCTCTTCCCCCTCATTTGGGTCTAGGGAGGAGTTGAAGGTGCTTTCGGAGAGGGTGGAGACTGAGGTGAATGGCTGGGGCCCCAGATCCAAAAGATTCCCATTGGCGGGTGGGGAAGAGGGTGTTCACATTTCTCCCCCAATCTGGTAAAGGTAAGAGGGTATTTATTTAGAAGAGGAGGTGTGGTCTCCATGCCCCTAAGTCTGGGGCTAGTGGTCACTCATAAGAGGGAAAAGGGGAGGATTTGTAGAGTTACATTTGGGGGTGGGTTTTGAAGGACTGAAACGGAAGTGGGGAGGGATGGAACTCAAATAGGGGGGGTATCTGGTCTCAAATGGACATGACGTCCGGGCTAATGGGGTACAGGGGAGGGGAGTGGGGATGTCAGCATCTATAAGTCTGACTTCTGTTGTTGACTTTCTCAGTATCAATTTCTTAAACTAAAATACAAAAAAAAAGTTCACCCCGTGACTCCTGCCTTCCTGAGCCTTCCGTGTCATGTCTCAGTGTTCACTCAGTGTTTATTCTGCAAATAAATGCTTAATTTATTGGACCCCTCGTCTGACTTTTGTGCCTTCAGCCTGGCAGACTTCCCTGAAATCTGATTTTGTGACATCTCCTTGTATTTCTTGAAACGTATTCCCTGCATTTGCATCTGGGCAGCTTACCACCCTCTGGGCCCCTATGTCTTCATCTGTAAAATGGGGAGAATAGAGAGACCCAAGAAGGACCTGTGGGAAGAAGCACCATGTCCCTGGAGTAAAGCTCTTTAACAGGAGGTTTTAGGAACATTGCACCACTGTCCCCGGCCCTCTGCAGGGGGGCCTCGGCTCCCGATGTGTCTGTCTGTTACCTATCACGTTGCTGACAATGTCAGCTTTCATCTCTTGTCACTTTCTCCTTTCTGTCACCTGAATGCGTCTTTTGTTCTGTAGTAAGCAGGGAGAAAAAAAGGATCTAATTGATTCCTAAGTGTGAAAGGAGGGTGGAAGTGGCGTCTTCCAAGGGCCAACTAGGGTAGCTTGAAGAAGAAAGATGAAGAAGGGAGGGAGCGAGGAGAGAGGAGGGCGACATCAAAGCGTGAGCAGCTGCAGCCACTGGCGGGACAAAGAGCGAGGGAGGGGAGGAGCCTGCGCGGAGGAGAAAGTTTGTGGGGAAAGTTGAGCAGAGCAAGGAGGGGCCTGGCGGTGGCTGGGGTGGGCCGAAGGCCCGACCCCAAATTCCCCACTGCTCCCCACGTGTGCTGGTGAGTAGGCAAGAAGAGACGAGGCTGCAGCTGAAGGAGAGACCCTAGAATTTGTGAGGGAGGTGGGATTCCAGGGTTCAGGGAACCCTGACAGAGGGCAACAAAGGACTGGCAACAGGCAGAGCAGTCCACCAAACTGGAAGGCACCGCGGGCAGAGGTGGGGGAGTGAGAAGGGGATCGCGCCGGAGGAAAGAAAAAGGAGAAATCAGGGCTGGATTCTGAACGCCGCGCTTGGAGGAAATTGGGAGGTGATGTCGGAGGGGGCGGGTCGCTGAGTAACAAATGCGGGTTCTCTCTGAGGTCCCCTCTGGCCCACCAGGAAGGAGGCTGTCAGGTCTTGCCGGTGGGGACAGGCCGTAACAGTCAATTGTAATCTGATGGGGTGGAGCTGGAGTCCCCCGCGACTGTGAAGCTCCGGCCTGGGAAGGAACTCCCAAGTTTGGTGTTTTCATCTTTCTCTGTCCCTATCTTTGTATCTCGAGTCAGTCCTTCTCTTTCCCTCTAGCCCCACCCTCTCGATCTCCTCTCGCTGAACCGATGGGACTGGCTGCTTCTGCTGCTGGAGACACGGTGGGGGGTTGGTTGTCTGGGACATCAGGACTTTTTAACTAACCTCATGCTGGGACCCCTACTAGCTAAGAGAGATACTCCGATTGACGATGAGAAGGCTGGCTCTTGCTCCTCTTGAGAAAGTTCTGTTAGCCTAACTTCTCTCCCTCCTACTGAAATTTTTTTTAAAAAAACAAACCCACTGCCTTCGGATCATTCGTAACTCATAACGACTCTGTCTGAGCCTCATTCGCAACATGTGGCTTTCCCTCCCATCCTCTTATCGGGCTCTCCTTCGGCGTTTGTCATCGGTGGTGGCTAACGACTCCCGAGGAAACCAGATCTGGCCTTGCACCCTGTTCGCTCCTTGATCTGCTATTTTTTGCTTCCTCTCGCTGGTGCACAATTCATAACTGAGGCTCCACTTTTCTCCTCTTGTCATCTAAATCCCTGAGACTCTGGGAGGAACAGAAGAAATTAGAGCATTTGAAATGGGAGGCAGAGGCTGACAGCAGAAGGTAGTGGGACCACCTAGCTAGTTCCCCTGCTGGGCCTCCCTGAATCCAGCTGCTGCTACATTTGGGAAGAGAGGGCTCTGCCCCTCTCCTCTGGTCTCCTCTCCTTCCCCCTCATTTCCCTTCTAGACGCTGACAGAGGCAAAAATCTGCTAACTCAGGGGGCAGACTCGACCAGGGCTGTGAGCAGGCCTGGGGAATAAACCTGGATCGACTACGTGGCTACCCCAGGCTCCCTCTGCCCTGGTTCCTCTCTAGCATCACATGGGCCACCTGGGCCCTCTGTTTTCTACCACCAGGACAATGCGGCTCTGGCTCTGGGGGCCTCGGAGCCTAGGCGTGGCTCTCGGAGTCTTCATGACCATCGGATTTGCCCTACAGCTTTGGGGAGGCCCCTTCCAAAAGAAGTAAGTTTCTGACCTTGCAAGGGGTGGCCCACATCCCACTTGGGGCTTGGACTCTTGGGGAATTCAGAGAGGAGAGACAGAGGAGGGACCATGTCCCCCTCCCCCCATCTGTTCTCCACATGTGTAAGGGACAAGACACTTCTCTTGTGTCTCTGCAGGCTACCTGGAGTTGGGCTTCAACTTCGACCACCCTGGTTCCCATCCCAGCATCCAAGCAGCAACCAATCCTGTTCACCTCAGCAGCGGCTGGTGTTCCTGAAGACGCATAAATCTGGGAGCAGTTCTGTGCTGAACCTGCTCCATCGCTACGGAGACCGGCATGGGCTACGGTTTGCCCTCCCTGCCCGCTACCAGTTTGGTTACCCAAGGCTTTTCCAGGCGTCCAGGGTTAAAAATTACCACCCGCAGAATGAAGAAGCTGAGCCACCCTTTCACATCCTCTGTCATCACATGAGGTTCAACCTGAAAGAGGTGAGAGCTCTAAGGGGAACAGGTAGAACTGGAAAGAGATGAGTTCATCCTGTTATTGAAACCACTGACAAAGGAGTCAAGGGTCTAGTGACAAAGGAGTCAAGGGTCTAGTGCTACCCAGGGACTATCTCATCATAAAGCTGGAGACCACAAGGGTGGGATTTCCTGTTCCCTCGCTTCAAGTTTCTCTTTTCTATTATTTTCTGGGAGTCAGATGCCTGATCATTTCCCATCTGACACTCACTCCAGTTCTATTCTATGACCAAGGTAGTCCCCTGCCAGCCCCGACCCCCTCAAACTCTGCATGTACTCCTTACCACTTTTTATCCTTTCTACTATCATCCCAGGATCCTTCTTCAGCTACTGAACTCCTCTTACTGTGTCTGCCATGAAAGAGATTAGCTATACACCAAGCCCAAGCCCTAGGCTAGGCTCAGCCAAACACTTAGGCAGAGGCCCAGTCCAAACCATCACTCCCCCAAAATCTTTATCCTGTTTCCATCAAGTTGATTCTGACTTACAGAGACATTGTAGGACAGGTTAGAACTTCCCACAGTCTCCAAGGCTGTGTGTATATATGTATGCAGACTCCCACATCTTTCTCCTGCAGAGCAGTTGGTGGGTTCAAACTACTAACCTCTCAGAGGGCAGCTAACTGCTAAGCCACTATACCACCAGAGTTCCTCTGACCCCCTAGAAATCTCAATGCTGATGGGAAAATGAATGCATGCCTTCACATAAACACACACAGACACGCACGCACGCACACACCCAGAACCTGTCGGCTCTTACAGAAAAGAAAATCAACTTGCAAATGAACACACTAAGGGAGGGGACAAACATTTATTGAATACATACCGAACGCTGAGTATTAATCTTACCACCACCTTGCAAAGGGAGGCATTTTAAGGGTCTAAACTAAACAGATGAGGAGACTGAGTCTCACAGAAATTGAGCAATCTGCTTCAGTTAACAGATAGAAAGTGGCAGGGCTATAATTAAACCCGGGTCCATCTACACCAAAGTCAAAGCTCTTTCCATTATAACATCATAGTACTGGGCGTGTAGTGTGTGTGTGTGTGTGTGTGTGTGTGTGTGTGTGTGTGTGTGTGTTCAGAGTTGAGGGTAGAACACTAATTAAAAGTGGTTTCTATGAAGAGGTAGGTTTTTCTAGTTCACACCACTATCCAAAGCCCCAAATGTGTGGTTCAAAGATTTACCTTATGGTTCCACTATCTTTTCAATTGTCCTGGTTGCTGTTGTTTTGATGACAACTTACAGCAATTCCACAGGGTTTTCAATTGCTGAATTTTCTGAAGTAGATTCTGGAAACTGATTGCTAGTTCTGTCTTCTGAAGTGCTCCTGGATACACTCAGATGTCAGAGGATTTAAAGACAGGCAAGACTTTGCAGTGAAGAGCAAATCAGGCAAAGTATTTGCAAGGACATGGTGGGACATGTGCGTATGTAAGGGAGGGAAGGAGAGTGGAGGTGGCAGAACCAGTTCAGCGGGAGTTGAGGAGACACCATCATTGAAGTTGGAACTGGAGAAAGCAGTGGCTCAGTCCTTGAGTCAGTGTCTCCAGAGGCATCCGTGGGTGGATTTGAACCACCAACCTTTCATTTAATAGTCAGGTACTTAATTAATGGTGACCCAGAAACTCTCAATGACTTTGATAACATATGGACAGAAGAGTGTGGGTGTGATCTAATAAACAAGATGGGTCAGTTCCCACTCTACTGTACAAAACACCATCACAACAACAAAGGGCCATCATGGAGTGTGACACAATGAAAATAACCTTTGAAGTCAGTTTCTCTAGAGGTTAAGATACCTTTCATTTAATTACTAGTCATTGAATAACTACCATGTCTTATGCTCTTTCACATTTTTTTAGGCGTTAATCCAGATACACAGGTGGAGAAATAAAGGCCCTGAAGTCAATAACCTGCCCCAAATGACACAATTAATGAATGGCAGGGTTGAGATTTTTTAAATTTTATTTTATTAATTTTAATGAACGTTTACAGAGATTTTGGATTTCCATTCATTTATTGTGGCATTTTTCTCCCTGCCCACCCCTCCCCTCCAGTTTGTTCTTCTCTTTGAAACGTAAAAGAAAAATTCTTTCATTGGTATACAATTCCCCACCACCACCACTCCACTATGCAGCCTTCATTCTGGACTCTTTTCATGACCATAACACCCAATCATGTATCGCTTTTAAACTGCTCCCTCATCTGTTTCAATGAAATATACATAATTTATCCCATTTTTCTCAATCTCACCCCAACCCTGGTGTCACTCCCATTCTACAACAGTGGCCCTATGCAGTATTTGTCCTTTTGTGACTGAGATACTTCACTCAGCATAATGTCCTCCAGGGTCACCCATTTTGAATAATATTGCATGAGTTCCTTGTTTTTCAATGCAGCGTAGTATTCCATTGTGTAAATATACCACAGCTTCTCTCCAGTCATTTGTTGATGGGCACTTAGGTTGTTTCCAACTCTTTGCTATTGTGAACAAAGCCATGATAAACATGGTTGCGCAAGGGTTGAGGTTTTAATCCAGTTCCATCTGATGCCAAAGTTGTTGCCTTCTGTCTTCAGAGACAGTCCCCAGGCTTTGTATCACTGGGAATACCCATGTTAGTGAAGAAGATCAAATGATATGATGAAGAGGAAGGGTCAGATTCAATGACAGATTTCCACTTCCGAGAAGGAGAACCATTCATAAAACCCCAGCCCAATGTTCTGATATGGATCCACCTGCCGGGTCTTATTACAGCCCTATCCCTACCTTCCTTCTTGCTGAGAAGTGAAGTGACATATCCCAACCCTCAGAGGACAATCTACTAAACAACCCTGATGCCCTAGTAACCTTTCCAGTGATGTCTCTTGCCCTCCAAGATGCCCAGGGTAGTGCCCTGCCCTTTACCCTTCTGCACCTGATCTGCCTGCCAGAGGCCTGCTCCCCAAACAGCATTTCTGTCATTCCCTCCTGCTCCCTCTTCGCTGTCAGTGACCTGAGAGCAGCTCTTTTCTTGAAGATGTGACTAAGAGTTCTAGAGTAGGTGTTTAAGAGGTGTTTGTTGGAGAAGGAATACAAAGTTTAGTTCCTAGAAGTTTACTGTCCAAGGCAGACAGAAAGAAAAGACTTTAAGAAAGGAATGTTCTTCTGGAGAAAATGACATTCCGATAATTTCTTCACATTCTTTATCTCCAGTAACTTTCACAATCACCTGAGAAGACTCCTATGCTTATCTTGGTTTTCCAGATAACCATGTGTTGCCTCAGAGATATTAAGTAATCTGTCCAAACTCACCCAGCTAGGGAGAGACAGCTTGTAGGTAGGGAGGGAATGTTTCCAGCAGAACTGTCAGAAGGTCTCCAGAAGGCTGGCCTTTCAGTGGGCTGGCTTCTGTTTTGTTCCTCCCTGACACAGTTCTTTTTCCCTTTGTTTTGCATTCTCTCCTCTGCAGGTACTTCAGGTCATGCCTTCTGACAGCTTCTTCTTTTCCATCGTCCGAGACCCAGCAGCTCTGGCTCGTTCTGCCTTCTCTTACTATAAATCTATCTCTTCAGCCTTCCGCAAAGCTCCCTCCCTAGCTGCCTTTCTGGCTAATCCTCGAGCCTTCTACCGGCTTGGGGCGCGTGGGGACCACTATGCCCGCAACCTGCTGTGGTTTGACTTTGGCCTCCCCTTCCCACCAGACATGAGGGCCAAGAAAAGAAATCTTCACCCCCCAAGAGACCCCAACTCTCCACAGCTGTATGTCCTGCCTTCTGGTGCTGGCCCTCAGGCCCAGACTCTGGATCTCAATGCTCTTGTCCATCCTGTGCTTACGGTTGCTGAAGGTCACCACCACCAGACGTCCAGCCCTCCTTCTTTAGATGCGGGGCCTTCGTCCTTCATCCAGTGGGGCCTAGCCTGGTTGGACTCTGTCTTTGATCTGGTTTTGGTGACTGAGTACTTTGATGAGTCGTTAGTCCTGCTGGCGGATGCCCTGTGTTGGGATCTAGATGACGTGGTGGGCTTCACGCACAACGCCCAGGCTGGAGGCAAGCCGAGCCTCCATGCTGCCAGGGAAGACAGGCTGACTGATGAGCAGCAGCAGCTGGCTGCCCGCGCCCGCGCCTGGAACAACCTGGACTGGGCACTCTACGTTCATTTCAACCGCACCTTGTGGACACGGATCGAGCAGTACGGTCAGAGCCGGCTCGAGAGCGCAGTGGCAGAGCTCCGGGCTCGGAGAGAGGCCCTGGCTAAACATTGTCTAGTAGGGGGCGAGGCCCTCGACCCCAAATACATCACCGACCAAAGGTTCCGCCCCTTCCAGTTTGGGTCAGCTAAGGTTTTGGGCTATATATTACGCAGCGGACTGAGCCCCCAAGACCGGGAGGAGTGTGAGCGCCTGGCTACCCCTGAGCTCCAGTACAAGGATAAGCTGGATGCCAAGCAGTTCCCCCATAGTCTCTCTGCTTCTCCAAAGCTTCCAGGCTACTTTCCCCATGGGCATCAGGCTCCATTGGCAGGTTAATGAGCAGCTAATCTAGGAGAGGAGCAATTGAACTGAAAGAAGAGAGCTAGAAGAGTAGGGCTCTTGGGCGGAGTTTGGGACGATCAGGTGCAAGTTTTGCTTCCCAGAGAAGGTATGCCTGCCCCCTAGAGGATGAAAGGACCTCTGACCTGATGCAGGCCCCCTCTGCAGGCCTTTACTATGGAATCCCGGTCCTTCAGGTCTCATCAGTTCTCTCTTTCCCATTCCACCCCCTCACGGGTCTGTGTAGCACTTTTAAAAGCCCCCTAGAGTGGCGACACATGGAATGAGCCAGAGAAAAGTTAGGGCGTGGCGGGTTAGAATAGCATGTCCATTTTTCCGTGAAAGAGATTATTGGGCTATGTTCATTTCACTAGGAAATGTTCATGGTATGAATAAATAATTTTAAACCTCTACTTGATTTATAGGGGGAGGGGGAAGGGAGGGTTGAGGGGTCTTCCAGAGGCTGGAGGGAGTCATTTTAATATGGAAGCACTTTTCCTCTCTAAGAAGACTGTGTGTTGTCTCTACTATTCCCCCCCCCCCAGTGTACTTTATTGATAGTAAACAACAATAAAATTAGGCTCTCTAGGCCTCTCCCACTCACCTTTTTTTTAAGGAATATGGGATAGAAACTCTGTTGAGGGTAAGAGATTCTCAGTTTGTTCGCACACTGAGTTATGGAAAGAACTCCCCAGAAATTGACAGCTCTCCTAGAGCGATTGCTGGAGCTGGTAGTTGAGGACTCCCTTATTTCTTAGAGGTCGTGTGGATCAACCACTTTGTGTTGTTGTGTACCATCAAGTCAGAACTAATCCGTAGCTGACCCTCCAGCAGGTTTCCAGAGGCAATTAATTGCATGGAAGGAAACTGCCCATCTTTCTCCTGTGGAGCAGCTGGTGGATTTAAACGACGTGCCATTAGGATTGCAGTGTAGTTTCTTAACACCAGAGCTCCATAGTAGGCTTTTGTTGTTGTTAGGTGCTGATGAGTACGACTCATAGCGACCCTATGAACAGCCATCCTGAAACCTGCCTATCCTGGGCCATCCTCACCATCCCTGAGACACTAGAGTCCATTGCTGAAGTGTCAGTCCATCTCGTTGTGTGTCTTCCTCTCCTTTGCTGACCCTCTAACTTTCCAAGGATGATGACCCTTTCCAGGAATAGCCTCATGTCCTGCACAAATATGTTTGCCTGTTTTTCTCCCATAGAGCAGGTGGTGGATTTGAACCACTTGCCTTCGGGATTGCAGCAGAGCTTCTTACCACTAGGCCACCAGAGCCTCCCGGGTGCTATAGCAAAATTGTCAAACCACCCTAGTTATGACAAAGCATTGTTGAGGACAATGCCAGCCCCAGAATCAAAAGTGGGAGTGTCACTGCGGATGTCAAGAGACCATCTCAGGGGAGCTCTGGTGGCCTAGTGGTAAGGAGCTGCAACTACAATCCCAGAGGTGCATGGTTCAAATCCACCAGATGCTCTGCCGGGGAAGGAGGGACAATCTCCTCCTGTACCAGTCAGATCTGATTTGATGGTACACTCACACAAAAATAATAAAATAAGATAAGATAAAATAAAATTTAAAGAGACCATCCCAAGTATTGCCCAGAATGCCTTTTAGAAGCCCCACTAATGTCTGCTTCACCATTTTCTTTACATATATACATATATATTCGTGTGTATGTGTGTGTGTGTGTGTGTGTGTATACCATCAAATTGGATCCGACTGGCACAGGAGGGAGATTGCCCCTTCTTCTCCAGCGGAGCATCTGGCGGATTGAATCACAAGCCTTCGGGATTGCAGCGCTTCTTGCCACTTGGCCACTAGAGCTCTCTACCTTCTTCTTGATATTGTATTTGGTCAGATTCATGGCCAGTACACTGAGGTTGGGGGACACAAAAGGCCACACTAATGAGTTTCCCAATCAGCTCTGGGATGACCTTGCCAACACCCTTGGTAGCATCAGTAAATGCAGAAATGATGTTCTGGGTAGCCTCATGGCTGTCACGCTGCAGTTTCTCAGGGAGACCATCTCCAGAATTCCAAGTGGCATGGATTGTGGTCATGAATCTCACCACAATGCTAAAATTGTCATGGTTGACCTTGGCCAGAGGGGACAAGCAGTTGGCACGGGAGATAGTGCTGATAATCTTGAGGAAGTTGTCATACTTCGTATGGTTTACACTCACTACAAGCAGGGGGAGCAGCAGTGGAAGGGGTCGAGATAATTATCCTTTTGGCATCTTATTTCAAGTGGGCTCCAAGCCTTTTCCAAGGATTGTGAAGACGTGGGTGAATTCCCTAACACATTCAGCACCAGGGATCTCTTTCCTGGAACATAGGGATTCCCGAACACATTCAGCACCAGGGATCTCCCTCCTGGGACATAGGGATGTGCTTTCCCTTGATGGTAAACATCTCAGTTCTTAGCCTTAACGGTGCTATTGGACTCGTGCAAATCATGTGGCTGCACAAGGGTCAGTGAACGGTCAATGATGGCAAGCAAACACCTCCTTTTAACCATTTAACCATTTGCTGGGACTAAAAGCAGTAGTCGTCCAATACCATCCAATCCATTTATCCTGACCTTCACTATTGTGCCTCTGGATTGTGGCTGGCACTGAAGATGCACTTCTGAGAACTTCAAGCGGCACAGAGAACTCTCTGCAAGCAGCCTGCAAAGCGGTGGGATTTGGCCCCTCCCACTCATCATCCAGTCACCGCAGATTACCGAGGCCACGCCCCCTTCCTTCCGCTTCCGGTCTCTGGCAAGTCATTCTGTCCGGCACTGGGGTTACAGCCCCGCCGGCTCGCGGTTCCGGGTTCGTTACCCGGTCCTGGGACCAGGCCTTTGTCTTGGGCCGCCCCAGGCGCGCGCAGCACCCCGCCGGCGTCAGCATCCTCCGAGCTGCCCCAGCGGGCCCACATCCTCCTCTGCGGGCCCCTCGTACTGGTCTTCGGTCCGGTCCGGCCCATTTCGCCCCTCTCTTGGGCCGTGACCCGCACTGCCCCATGGAGTCCCAGTGCGACTATTCGATGTACTTTCCAGCCGTGCCGCTGCCTCCGCGCACAGAGTTGGCGGAGGACCCAGGCCGGTACCGGGCGCTGCCCCGGCGAAACCATCTGTATCTGGGGGAGACTGTCCGCTTCCTACTGGTGCTGCGCTGCCGGGGCGGCGCGGGCTCCGGTGCTGGGAGCGGCCCGGGCTTGGGCTCCCGAGGGGCCTGGGCAGAACTGGCAACTACTCTGGCTGCCCTGGCCTCGGTCAGCGCTGGAGGCGGGGCGCCCGCGGGCGTTGGCACCGGCGACCAGGATCCTGAACCCCCAGGGGGTGGGGACCCTGGGGGTGGGGGTTTGTTCCGAGGCTGCAGCCCCCTTCTCACCCACGGCCCAGGCCCTGCTACCTCAGGGGGAGTGACCACGGTGAGAAACTTGGGATGACACTGTACAGGGTGGAGAGGCGGGGTGCTGGGCTCCAGCTGGTGGCCTTAGGCAGGAGGCAGACGACAGCTAAGAGGAGAGGGGTGCAAGAAGAACCGTACACCGCAGATCTTAAAGGGAACTGAAGTAGGCAGCCTCTGAATTTTCCTGACCTGTCCATCCCTCTTTTACAATCCTAGCTGCCTGTAGAGGAACCAATCGTGTCCACAGATGAGGTCATCTTCCCACTCACCGTTTCACTGGATAGATTGCCCCCAGGGACACCTAAGGTCAAGGTAAGATTGGCGAGGGTAGAACTGTTGCTCAGATTGAGGCACCTAAGACTCTGCCATGTCTCTCTTCTCTTGACTGGTCCTGTGTCCCCTGTGCCCAGATTGTAGTGACCGTGTGGAAGCGGGAGGTTGAGGCACCGGAGGTCAGAGATCAAGGCTACCTGCGCTTGCTGCAGACCCGATCTCCTGGGGAGACCTTCCGGGGCGAGCAAAGCGCTTTCAAGGCCCAAGGTGGGGAGGAGAATGCAGAGGGGGACGGCTAGAGTCTGGAATTGGGGGACTGAATGAAGGGGAAGCATCTGCTCTGGGGAAAAGAGAAAGATTACATAGAACTGAGGGTTGGAGGCGAGGTCTGTGCCCAGACTGTCATTTCGTCCTTTGACCTCTTCTGCAGTGAGCACCCTGCTGACGCTACTGCCCCCTCCTGTTCTGAAATGCCGGCAGTTCACTGTGGCTGGGAAACACCTGACTGTCCTCAAGGGTAAGCTAATGGTCTGGCTCTAGGACATCAGCAAGGACCTTATTCGTCGGCAGTTGCTTTGTGTAGGCTGTGGGGGATAGGTTGGTTTCAAAAGAAGGGTAAAAGTTGGGCATCCAGACACTCTGAGCTGAGTTGCTTACTTCCTATAGTGCTGAACAGCTCCTCCCAAGAGGAAATCTCCATCTGGGATATCCGGATTCTCCCCAACTTCAATGCCAGTTATCTACCTGTCATGCCTGATGGTTCTGTGCTGCTGGTGGACAATGTCTGGTAAGGCCCTCGAGACAAGCCGAGCTGTAAAGTGGTGGGCCGGGGAATGGGAGACCAAGAGCTCTGATAACGGTGAGATCATGATGTTGCACTCTCTTCTGACCTAGTCACCAGTCTGGGGAGGTCTCAATGGGGTCCTTCTGCCGGCTTCCTGGTACCTCTGGCTGCTTCCCCTGCCTGCTTAGTGCCCTGGAGGAACACAACTTCCTGTTTCAGCTGCGAGGGGGTGAGCAGCCCCCTCCAGGAGCCAAGGAGGTAAGGATAAAGGGCTGTGAGTTCAAGGAAAAAGGTTAAGACAAAGCAGTGGACGGGAAGAGGAAGGAGGCTGAAGATGGAAGATGGGAGGCCTCTAATACATGTAATGTTGCTCCTGGCCTCCTGCAGGGCCTTGAAGTTCCTCTTATTGCTGTGGTTCAGTGGTCTACCCCAAAGCTGCCCTTCACCCAGAGCATCTACACGCACTACCGGTGAGTGTGGTGAGCCCTTGCTAGGCACCATTCAGTCCGTATTTGTTACTTGATACATCCCTGACTTCCTTCTCTCTTCCCTGATTTCAGCCTACCCAGCATTCGCCTGGACCGCCCATGCTTTGTGATGACTGCTTCTTGTGAATCTCCTGTTCGGACCTATGAACGTTTCACGGTCACCTACACGCTGCTCAACAATCTCCAAGACTTCCTTGCCGTGAGGCTCGTATGGACCCCAGAGCACGCACAAGCTGGTGGGTCAGCTGCCAGACTGGGACTTTGTCCAAAGGGCAGGGAGAGACAGGAAGAAGTCATGGGACGGTGCAAACAGCTCAGAAGCTGGTGCCAGCTACACACATGGGTGACCTGAAGCCTGCTGCTTCTGCTCTGCCTGGGTAGTTGGCCAGAGTATCACACAAATTTGGAGAGGCAGTGGGGATGTGACTTCAACGGCATAGTCATTGGAGCTGGCTCTCTGACCATTTTTTTATTTCTATTTACTGGCTGTGTGACTGTAAGCCAATTACTTAACTTCTCTAGGCCTCAGAGTCCCCATGAAGAAAAGAATATTTCTTGGCACAATCATGTGGATTAACTGAGTGGTTGGAACAAACCTCACTCAGCACACAGAATTGCTGTGGTTATCAATATTTAAATGCAGCAAGAGATGAATCATTTGCTAGAGGGGTTTGGAGGATCAAATGAAACTGTATGAACCGAGGAACCTTGAATGGATATGCTTACTGGTCCTGCTTTGTCTCCTCCCTCAGGGAAACAGCTATGTGAGGAGGAACGCCGGGCAATGCAGGCGGCCCTGGACTCCATCGTCTGCCACACGCCCCTCAACAATCTGGGCTTTTCCCGGAAGGGCAGTGCACTCACCTTCAGTGTGGCCTTCCAGGCTCTAAGGACAGGGCTCTTCGAGGTAGGGTGGGGATGTATGGTGGGTGATACACATGCAGACTGTTGGGAGTGTAAGGAAACAGAGACCTTCACTTCCATTGATGAACTATACTGGGTGGGGGACCAGAAGGCTGGGCAGAGGGAGGTGGATTTGAGAACTGATAGAAGACTTTTGAGTGGGTAAGGAGATCTGAAAGGGAGCCTGGGCCTGAGAAACTGAGCTGGCATGCTGGATCTATGTTTGTCACCTCCAGCTGAGCCAACATATGAAACTGAAGTTGCAGTTCACGGCCAGCGTGTCTCACCCTCCACCCGAGGCCCGGCCCCTCTCTCGAAAGAGCAGCCCCAGCAGCCCAGCCGTCCGGGACTTGGTAGAGAGGCACCAGGCTAGTCTGGGCCGCTCTCAGTCCTTCTCCCACCAACAGCCTTCCCGCAGTCACCTCATGAGGTATGGCATGGTGGCATGGGGACTTGGTGGAGGATGGGACCAGAGGGAGCAGGGAGGGGCCAGGCCATAACAGTCAGTGTCTAACTGAAATGCACACCCTTTGCTCTCTTCCAGGTCCGGCAGTGTGATGGAGCGCCGGGCCATCACGCCGCCAGTGGCCTCCCCTGTCGGGCGTCCCCTCTACCTGCCTCCAGACAAAGCTGTCCTTTCTCTGGACAAGATTGCCAAGCGCGAGTGCAAAGTCTTGGTAGTAGAGCCGGTCAAGTAGCACCGAGCCGGCTTACCTCCCTTTTACACTCCCAGATATCTGAAGCCCTCGAGGGGGTCCTCCCTCCAGGCTTCTGCCTCTCCTGGGCTGCCTCCTCAGTGGGTGAAGAGGCCCCACAGAGCCACCTGTCTGTGTCTGCTGATGAGGGACCAGGGAAGAAGCTGTGAAACGAATGTGTCTGGCTGCTGCATTAAGTCAACAGTATTCCCAGAGTTCCAGTAGGGGGGGGCTGGCCCCACCCCTCAGCCGGGGCAAAGGCGCCCTTTCAAGGTTTACAAAGTGTTTTCCTCATTCCTCCTAAATTGTCTTTCCCACCTCTACATTCCCTCCCTTCCAGCTGCAGGGCTGAACTTAAGAGGGTGGTGATGGTAAAGGAGCCCCAACAATGACCCATTTGTTTTGGGTTTTGGGGAGATAGCTATGGGACCTCTTACCACCCCTCATGTTTACGTTTGCAGCCTGAAGCACTTTAAGTTATGTGTGTGTGGGTTTTTTTGGTTGTTTCTTTCCCTCCCCGCCCCTGTAAATTATTTTCCATCTACTGCTTCCAACTGAAAAAAAAAAAAAAAAAGACTATTAAATGCCTGCCCAGGAGGAAGAATGGCTGCTGTTGTGTGTTGGTGGAGGGAGCGGAGAACAAAGTGGGCAGAGAGTCTCACAGAAGGACCCCCATCAGCATATAGACCAATCTCCAGTATAAATATTTGAAGGCAGCCCTGCCCTACCAGAGTACACCTTCCCCCGTCCCCCAGAAGGTGGAAGACTGATAAATCTCTCACCCCTGACACACAAATACACACTCCCAAGCCTGGGAACATGAGATTTATGTTTGTTCGGAGGTAGGAAAGGAGTGGTTGAGGGAAGCGGGGAGTCCCTTCGCCCTTATTCTTTTTAACTTCATGCTAAGTCTCCAAGCCTTTGCCTTTCCAGGTAGAGTGGGGAAGTAGGTGAGTAGATGGCCTTAGTTACAGACGCAAGCCAAGAAGTCTTCACAAACGACTCAAAGACCCAGTCCACCTCCGACTGTCTTCCTGTGCTGGCTCAGATGTCAATGGGCTCCCGGCCTCGGTTCTGCCTCTTCACCACAAAAACCCTCTGTCCTGACACGGTCACCAGCAGCGTGTGTTCTCCAAAGACCACTAGAGGAGAGATGCCCCTTCCCTCACCCCAGGGGAGAGAAGGGGACACAGTTAGTGGTGTGATAGCCTCTGGGAGAGTTACAAACTGGTTGCTAGTAAAAGCCAATGAAATTCTAGAGTTCAAAATTTAAGCTGAGGGACCTCCACTAAATCCTCCTCTTTTTCATATTCAGTTCTGACCAAGCAGAAACCCCACAGGTCTTTTTTTTTTTAACCCCCTAAGAAGCAGTAGTAGCCTTTGGGAAAAATTCCCAGCCCCACCTGGCCAGAGGGACAAGCTCACCAGACAGACGTTTGAAGGGTATGTTCGTGCTGTGGTGCAGGCGAAAGCCACAAGCTGTGCTGACCAGCTCAGAGATGGCACTGGCTGCCTGCTCATCATTCTCTAGATCCCCAGATGACTGCATGCAGAGGGGAGGGAGTAGGGCGGAAATTAGGGAAGAGAACTGGGAAGCGATTCCAGGCAATCATTTCATCTCTACTATTTGTAACCTTACCCTCCCCAAAATCCCCAGGTTACTCTCCCTCACTCAACTCATTACAATTGGAATTGTCTTGACGCCTGACCCTCTGGTGCATTTCTGAGGCTACAAATCCCAGAGGAGGAGACTGCCCATCTCTGCTTGGACATTATGGCTTCCCCTCCGTGTCATCCAGTCATCCCATTTCTCATCCTTCCTCTGTTGACTCTCATCCCTTTCTTCCTATCCCCTTCAAATGCTACTTTGTTCGCTGCTCACACCTATTTGATCAAATTTCATTCTCAAAAACCTTGTTTTTCCCCATTTACTGCCCTGTTCAGAATCTCAAACACAGCTATCCCTTTGTCCTGAGCACCTACCAACTGCCCAGTCCTTGAGTCAGTGTTGTGACAGGGCCTGGGCTTCCTCTTTTCTGATGACTGGCTTCCTCTTTGCATCTCCTGGATAGGGGTCTCCCATTAGGTTACTCACTCACTGCTGTCCAGTCAAGGCCAACTTCTAGGTGACCTTCTAGAAGGCAGCAAACTGCATGTAAGGAGACCACTTATCTTTCTCCTGAAGAGCAGGTGGTGGATTTGAACTGCTGGCCTATGTGTTGGCAGTCCAACACCTTACCCACTAGGCCACCTGAGCTCCCTTTCATTAGGCTAAGTTTAATGTATTGTCTTTTGGACATTCTGTACTGTTTCCTCACTTGCAAAATGGGGACAATATAGTATCTTAAAACTTATTGCCAGGATTAAATGAGATATTATCTTTAGGATGCTTTGAATAATCTTACCATTTCAAACTCCATTTTTACAATCAAACCATCAAAATTCTCCCTATGTCCTACCTTTCTCAATCAACTTCCTTTCTTGGTTTCCTGCTCAAGACATCATCATTATTCTAGGTTTCTAAGTTCAAAGTCTTACTGAATGGAGGTGGAGCTCCTCTACTACATCCAATCACTCTTTACTTAAATGGTGCTACCAGCTCTATCTCATCCCTAGCTGACTGACCACAGCAGCTGGCTGCCATATAGACTCTGCACCCTCCAATCCATCTTCATATTATTAACAGAACAATCTTGCTAAATCATTTCGCCAAGTCATGTTCCTGCTCAAAAGCTTTTAATAGCTCCTATTACTTTCAAAATTAAGCCCAAATATTTGATTGAATCTGGTTTTGAAAGTCCTCTACAAAGTGATCCTTTCTTTACAACAGCCTCTTCTCTCCCTAAACCATGTCAAAAGCATGGGTGCCAAATTCCTACAAATATGTCCATTTCCCAGCCCCAAGTGTATTCCCTTCTTTCTTCCTATTCACATTACAGCACATTCTTTAAAATCCAGATGAATTTCTGCCTTCATGAAAAGTTTCTTGCCACAACACAAGCTATTATTTAACATGATTAGTTGATTCTTTGAGTAGTCATCATATTGAGTTCCATTTTTAACCTTTTAAGGCTTGTCTCTAGTTAAACTGAAAGCTTATATAGAGAGTTAGTACTATAGCGTACTGTGGAACAAAGCCTTGTCAAGAAATAATAAACAATATACTTGAAAATAACTCAGGTAATAGCAGTTATCAATAAACTTGTGATTTTAGTAGTAAGCCTATTTTTATCTCACAAAAATTGGATGCTCTTATGCGATTACTGAAAGCTTACTGTATGTCAAATATGCTAGGGTCATAACAAAGACCAGAGACAAATTAGGGTGCATTAGCGGTTTAGTGGCAAGAAGCTGCGCTGCAATCTCTAAGACTCTCGACGTTCGAATCCACCAGGTGCTCCGCGGAAGAAGGATGCGTAATATCCTCCCATGCCTCTGAAAACCTGCCAGTCGGTTCCGATTCCACGGTACACAACAAGGGCAAACTGGGCCATAAATTCTTAGGGGGATCCCCTCCCTTTCCCCAGAACGCACCGCCAACACTGCGCCTTCGCTCAGCACCAAATAGCCGAGCTGGTCTGGGATTCGCTCTAGCCCCTGGGTCAGTGCAGAAGTCTAGTGGATAAAGGAGCAATCAGTGAGAAGCATACAGGAGAGGTGGTCGACTACCGTCATTTGCATATCAAGGTCCCTCTCTTGAAGATGGTCGCCCAGGCCTTCCCTTTCCCCACCAAGGCCCTTCGAGACCCTCTTCCGATGGCCTCCAATATACTGTTCTTGCTCCCCCTTGCTTCCATCTGTACCCCTCTCTCTCTTTCTGGTCGTGGGCTCCGTCAGGCCTCCCACACTCCAGCTGATAATCCTAGCATGCCTTCACAGCCCCCCTGCCCCTCACAGCAGACCCTCCTTCAAACTCCTCCCGGTGGCCCGCCTTTTCCTCGCAGACTGCGCCCAAGCCCTGTACAACCTTCCCTCTTCGGCTCTGTCACCAACCCCTTCCCAGCTCCATGTTCCTAGGGTAGCTTGGGGAGATGGTGGGTGCAAGTCCAAGATGGGGGGCGGGGGGACAGCTTATAGAGAAACGGGATCGCGAAGCCATAGGGCGTACTCCCGCGCATGCGTCTTTACTTACCATCGCAGGTTTAAGGTGCTAGGGGCGCTTCCTACCAAACAGGCAGCTTCCGATGCTCGTCCGAGATCACGTGCTTTCATGGGCGGTCTCTGGCTCAGCGCTGTCGCATTTCAGTCCCGCCCCCTTCGCGTGGATTGGATCATGGACTACGTCATTAGACGGAATCTGCCAGTGGAAGGCACCAGTGCGCAAGGGTGTACGTGGATTGGTCCTGTAACCTTCTTAAATTGCAAGGAGGCGGGGAAGATCTGTGTAACAAGGAAGAGGAAAATAGAGGGAGAGAAGAGGCAGAGGGAGGGGGGAAGAGGAACAGGAGAGTGGGAGGGTAAGACTGCACTATTGCGCATAGTAGGACTGCAAGGTTTCATTTTATGATTGTAAATGGGACCGGTTTTTGGGGTTTTAGATTTTTTTCTGGGTAAAAAGATAAAGAGCTATTAAAAATGTTGCTCATGCTTACTTTAGGCCCACCGAGCAGTCACTCTCGTAAAAGGATGTAAGTTTCTTTAGGGAAGGCTGAAAGATCAACAGTATGTATATTTTTTTAAATGTAGTGTGGTCCTTCCTCCAGGACAACCAGCCTCTTCATTTAACACGTGGGTTGGAATTGATTCAGTGGCCGTGACACTTGTTTTAGCAATTCAAGATCATTTTTTAGAGTCCTTCTACTTGTACAGATCAAGTAAATTAGTTTCTTACCTGTTTCACTCCAGAGATGCCTAAGTAGCCAACACCATAATAAACCTTTATTTTCACGCTATGTTGTGTTTACCCTGCGTCTTGACGAGAGGATAGCCCTGGTGTGTCCACTTGCCATACAGAGGTAACTTGTAGTTGCTGTGACACTGATGTATCAAATGCGATAATGGCTACCCATGGTGGACAGTATTTGGTGGAGCTCCCCCTTTAAAACAAGCTTGGAAGCAGGAGTGGCATCCACTTCTGTAATAGCTTGCCTCCAGAAACCCTATGAACCTGGAAAGAGGATGAAAGTCACACAAGTGTTGACTTTCTTTTTTTTTTTTCTATAATTATATTTTATTAATTTTCATAAACATTTACAGAGATTTTGGGCTTCCACTCATTCATTGTTGCACTAGTCTCTCTACCCTCCTCCCAGTTTGTTCTTGTCCAAATGCCACAGTGCTTGTCAAAGCCAGTTCTGATTAATCTTCTTTGTCAGTGTGTCCTTTGCCATTCCCTATCACTCCTCCCTGAGAGAGACTTCACCCTGAGTCATAAGGAAAAGGGGATGGCATATTCTCTTAGCTACTTCCTGCTGAAAAGGGACGCTGTGGGTTTCAGGGTGAAGATCTTCTCTCACTACTCTAAAGGGCCCCTTTGGCAGTAGGAAACACATAGACTATTATGGAGATTGATTTTGGAATTTAGATGCACTCTTGTTGATTGTGCTTGGCTGTACATGTTCATATCACAAGTGTTGACTTTCATTCATAGGGTCACTATAAGTCGCCTATGACTCTATGGCACTTCACAACAACTGCTATTATAGTGACCACTACCCCCTTGCTTTAGTGGATTGAGTGCTTTCACTTTGCTCCCATCACCACAGTCTGATCAGACTCAGTGCAGGCAGTTGTCTTAATTCAATTAGGGCAGTTTCCACTATCAAGTTTAAGGTTATACGGTAGTCACAGAATGCTGGGGTTCCTTCTATACATTTGATCCTCATAGTTAAAGTAAAAGGTGTGTCCCCTGGCCATTCCACGTGTGAGTTTAAAGGTCTAATATGATAAATCCTTTTTTTAAAAAAAAAATTTGTGTACTGTCAAATTGGATCTGACTGGTATGGGAGGAGATTGTCCCTCCTTCTCCAGCAGAACAGCTGGTGGATTCGAACTGCTCACCTCTGGAATTGCAGTGCGGCTTCTTGTCACTAGGCCACCAGAGCTTGCAGATTAATCCATTCTAACATGCCAATTTTTTAATACCTTGTACAATATAACAAGGCAGGGCTGATATTTCAATTTGACTTAGATTGTTGTTGTTGTTGTTGTTATGTGTTGTCAAGTTGCCTGCGACTCATAGCGACACTATGTACAAGAGCCCTAAATCCTTCTCTATCCTGTGCCAATCTCACTGTCTCTGACACACCTTACTCCCATTACCCCAATCACTGAATCGATCCATCTCATCGAGGGTCTTCTTCTCCTGCGCTGTCCCTCAACCCTCCCAAACATGATGTCCCTCTCCAAGGACTGGTCTCTCCTTACAACATGCCCAAAGTATGTCAGACGAAGCTTCAGAATCCTTGACTCCAAGGAACATTCTGACTTCACCCTCTCCAGGATAAACCTGTTTGCTCTCCCAGCAGTCCATGGTATATTCAACACTCTTCTCCAGCACCACAGCTCAAAGGTATCAATTCTCTTTCTATAATCCCTAGGCATTGTCTGGCTCTCTGATGCATAGCACACAATTGCGAAGACTATGGCCTGGATCAGGCACACCTTAGTCTCTAGTCTGACATCATTGCTCTTCAGTACCCTGGAGAGGTCCCTGGCAGCTAACTTTCCCAATGCAATTTGTCTCTTGATTTTCTGGCTGCTGGTACCAAGATTATTAATTGTGGAGCCAAGCAAACTAAAACTGTAAATAGTCTCAATGTTTTCACCATCCATTATGATGCTGCCACTGGCCCAGTGGTGAGAATCTTTGTTTTCTTGATATTGAGCCTCAATGCATATTGAAGGCTGCATTCTGCAGCAAGCACTTCAGGTCTTCCTCAGTTTCAGCAAGCAGGGTTGTGTCATCTACATACTGCAGGTTGTTGATGAATCTTCCTCCAATCCTGATGTCATATTCCTCCTCATACAGCCCAGCCTCCCAGATGATCTGTTCTGCATACAGATTGAAAAGGTATGGAGACAGAATACATCTCTGGAGGATATCCTTCTGATTTTGAACCATGAGTTAGGTAGACCATCATATAATCTATGTCAATGAACCACCCAAATAAACTATTAGGTCCTTTCCTAACCTTTTGAGCTGAAATATTGAATGCAGAACTGGGCTTGTTTTTGTTGTTATGTGCCATGGAGTTGCCTGTGACTCATAGCAACCCTACGTACAAAAGCTCTGAACTCTGCCCTATCCTGAGCCAGTCTCATTGTCTCCGACAGACCCAATCCCACTTCTCCAATTACTGAGTCAATCCATCTCATCCTGGGTCTTCCTCTCCTATATTGTCCATCCACCCTTCAAAGCATGTCCCTCCTTGCCATGTGCCCAAAGTATGTGAGATGAAGCTTCAGAATTTTTGCCTCTAGGGAGCAGCTTGGTTTCACCCTCTGCAGGATTGACTTGTAAAAATCAATAAACTTGAATTGATCCAATTTTATGTCTCTTGCACCATTATTTCTCTCTTAATAGCCATTATCACACATATTCTCCAGGTTTTTGTTTGTACTTATTAAAGAAATCAATGAATGTTTTTAAATCATAGTGATTCTCTTTGTGGGTAAGTTTGTATTTTACATCTTGAGGTTCACTGGGATATAAAAGCAAAAATGGTTGGCAGAGTTGGTTCCTGAGAATTCAGCAGTGTCATGTAAGAGAACTGCCTGTAGTTTTATGTCCAGACAATAATACTCGATGCTCCACCATTAGTGAGTGAAATGTCAGATCCAGACTCATTAAATACAGTGGGGTTAGTTACATGTGGGGGAGAGAGCTGGTTCTGTTGGTAAGACTGGTTCAACAAAATTTAGAGGTTCCATATCCCCAGCTTCTTGATTATCTGACTAGGTGTAAGTTGGACAATTAATAAGGATGCTCAAAGAACTTATGCCTTTAAATTATAATGTTGGAGAACAATATTAAATGTACTATGGACTGACAAAAGAATGATTAAATCTGTATTGGGAAAAAAGTACAGACAGAATGCTCCTTAGAAGAGGTGATTGTAGGGAACTTTGGCCGAGTGGCAAGAAGCTGCACTGTAATCCTAGAGGCTGTTGTTGTTGTTGTTATGTGCCGTCGAGTTGCCTGCGACTCATAGCAACCCTAGAGTCTATACAGTTCAAATCCACCAGATGCTTTGCTGGAGAAGGAGGGCAATCTCTTCCTGTACCAGTCAGATCCGATTTGACGGTACACACACACAAAATAATAAAGTTTAAAAAAAATTAAAAAAGAAGAGGTGATTATGACACTTCATCTCACATACTTCAGACATGTCCAGTAACAGCAGCTAAGAACCACCCAGTTCTGATCTCATGGCAAAGGAAGTAATTGTTCATGGATATCCCAGAGTTTTCAGAAGCAGATGATCAGGTTTGTCTTCTTTTTTTTTATTTTTTATTTTTTTTTTTTTAATTTTTTTCAGGTTTGTCTTCTGAATCACTTCTGAGCAGATCTGAACTGTCGGTCTTTTGAATAGTAGTTGAGTGCTTAACCATTTTGCTATTCAGACATCCCTATGACTTAGGATAGTGTGAGAAATTGCAGATCCCAACTATTCATTGAATATATGGGAGATGCCTGATATGTTACCTATATGCTTTCCACCTTATCTTGGCAGCCTATACCCTATGAGAAGCAATGGCCTAAAGTGTCTCCCTGAGGTAGCTGCAATCAGCAACTACTTACACATGATTACCAATCAATCACTTAGGAGTCCTTGGGTGGTGCCAATGATAAATTTATTTACTCATCAGATCAGAAAGGTTAGAGGTTCAGGTATCCCAGAGCCATTTTGAATGAAAGGCTTGGTGATCTACTTTGGAAAAGTCAACCACTGAAAACATGTGGAGGACACACGAGGTCAAAGTTGGTATAGATTCCATGATCACTGGTGCTGGCAAATTGTTAGACCAATTAAAGTTTCACGTTTGTATTGGGGCAGTATAATTTCTAATGCGGTTTTCATTTATTTATTTATATTTGGTCCATCTTCAGCAGAACATCATCTCATTTTAACAATGAAGACCTGAGAAGTCACACAGAGCTAAACTGATGTTGAGTATTAGGTTGGTTCCAGAGACAGGCAAACCGTGGTCTTGTGATGGCCACAGTCACGGTATTCTGCACTAGAAAATCCGCCTCTTGTAAGGGCTGGAAGGAGAGACCATTCTTGACTCCTCTTCCACTCTGGTTGACTGAGCTCGCTCAGTTTTAGGGATCCAATTCCTTGGTTTGTAGGGCTTTCCTCACAACAGTCCAGCTCCTTCCTGGCACTTCCAGTGCGAAGTGAATTCCTCACCTCCGGCTTTGGGCTCCTGTAGAGTTTCTTGCCCTAACCCTTTGTCTCGGGCTCTGAAGCCTCCCTAACAATTCTAAAGGGGGCTCCATGACCAGGCACGACCACGTCTGCAGCACTTAGGACTCTCTTCCGGCTCCGCTCCTGGGCCACGGGGTCCTCGCTCAATGCCTGCCAGGAGTCCTCGTCTCCATTACATTCAAATACATCGCCCACCACAGCCACGGTGCCCAGGGATGTGCCTGCCACCACCACGCTCACGTCTTTCTGACCTCCATGGCCTGGGGTGGCCCACACCTCGAGACCCGGCCCCAGCTGCAGGGGCTGTTCTTCACTCAATCGGTGGGGTAGGTAAAGACCCCCAGGGAGGCAGAAGTCGTGGGAGACCAGAAGAGCTGCCCCCGGGAACAGTCCCAAGTTCCCAATGTGATCAGAGTGCCCGTGGGTCCCCACCACTAGAGTCACGTCTCCAGGGGCCACATTCTGCCTTGCGAGGGCCCCCAAGAGCGCTTCCCGAGCCCAGGGACCCCCTGTGTCCACGATCATAGGGCCAAGGGCTGCACGCTCCAGGGCAGTCTTCACTCCGTCATCCTTGGAAGGGGGATCTCGGCGGCTGGAGACGAGGGTCCAGTCCTTGGGCAGGATAAGGGTCACGGAACCATCGGCACGCACAGCGCCGCCAAATCCCTGGGGATCCGCAAAGCCCTGCAGCAGAACCACGACTGAGTAGGGGCTTCCAGGGACCAGCAGCGGGATCTCCCCGCACAGCGGCTCGGTGTGTAGGATGCTACTCATGGCCGGAGAGGGACTGGGTAAAGAGAAAGAAAGTCGGACGATGGAGGGCTGTCTGTTCCTCCGCGTGCTCACACGCCAGGCTCCCGCCACTACCCAACAAGCATCTTCCACCTCTCACCGTGACCACCCCTTTCACATAGAATTTCCCACAATCCCCTTTTGAAAAATGGTATCTCCCAACCTCCCTTCCATCTACGAGATTGGCCCGCCCCTCTGCGGCGTCAGCCCTCACCTCCCTTCCCACTCTTTTTCATGGTAGGAGTACATTATCACCCCAAATACCCCTTTCCCTTTCTCACTCTAATCTTTAGGCATTCTTTCTACCCCAGACCTGGGTTTAGAGTTTCTCTTAAGTCTTGTTTCCTAGGAAAAGAGGAGACCTCGGAAAAACGGAAGTATTTTGTCTCCTGCGACCTTCCGTAAGCCCTAGATACGGTGGCCGAAATGAATTTTGCCTCCTGCGACCCTCCGCAGATCTAGGTATGGTGGCCTGTATGTTGACTCTTCATTCCGGCACATTCCCAAACCTGCGCAGAGATAGGCTGCACAATCAAAGCTAAGTATAGTTCTCCGCCTCAGTATTTCTGTCCCCTTCCTTGGACTCTATAATTACAAAGCATCATTGGCTTTAAACAGGAAGGCAGCCAACAGCACTATTCTCCGGGCGCGGCTGTAATGACCAATTAGAAAGCGTTCATGGCAGAGTGTAGAGGGAGTTATTTGAAACCTTAGATCCAGCTGATTAAGTATATGTATAACCAATAATTGTATATATGAAAGTTTAATAGTGATATAGAAAATTTTGCACCTATGAAATCAGTTGGTGGGCCTTGGGTAAAATGGATATGAAATAGACTCCCTAGAATCTACCTGCCTAATTTAGCATCACCTCATCCCCACGCAAAGTCTTATTCTCCTTCCGTTTGCTGGCATGTAGCCTCCTGTATGCAGTGTAAATAGGTGGTTGTGGGAATGGACTCATAGCTGACCTTCCAGCAGGTTTTCAGAGGCAGTAAATCATATGAGAAGAATGTGACCATTTTTTCCCCCACAGAGTAGCTGCAGGATTCAAACTGACTGCCTTTGTGTTGGCAACACAATTCCTTATCCCTAGGCTACCAGATGCAGGGGACAGAGGGTGTATGTTCTGGGACCTTCTTGCAAGAGTCTAAAAACTGAGAGGGCCCTCCGTCCCCACTCAAGAACTATGATTTCTCTAGGCCCACTACCCCAGGATCACTTCTGACCTCTGGAGGTAGTTGATATTTAAAGGGGAAAGCCTTGAATACTGTCAGCACACACACTTGCCATTTAAGGTGCTGGATAAAAGGATGGATGGGGCTCATCTGCTGAGGCAGAACTTTTACTTGCCACTCCCATCCTCTCCCCGAAGTATGCCATGCTGCACTAACTAGGGTCCTGCCTAGGATCATATAGGAGAGAATACCTACAAGCTCTGGGATGTGTCAGTCATACAACACACACCCTCAAAGCTATGGGGCTGTAAAAGCTCAGACTTCAGAAGATTCTTCTCTATAAACCCTTTCTGAGGACTCAAAGAAAAGGTCAAAGATCCTCTGGATCATGCTTGGGGTGGTCTGGTGTTTCGGTTATCTCTTCTTCCTCCTCTTCATGTTCCTCCTCCTCTTCTGTTGTCTCCTGTCCATCTGTGATCTTCTCCTTTCCAGTCCAAGTTTCCTCCAGACATGCTAGGTTGGGTGAGAGAAGACATTTTAAATATGGGTCCTGCAGGTAGGAGAGGCTGTAGCCTGGCCCAAAGGAGCCCGATCCACACACTTACCAGTGTCTGCACTTGGGAGCACACGCCCTTTACAGAGAAACTGCTGTAGAGGCTGCTCTTGGTGGTGGAAGTACCAGTCTTCCACAACTTCTTCAAACTCTTCCAGCATTGTTTCACACTAGGCAAAAGGAAGGGTTAGAAAGGTCTGTGCTCTGCTGGGCTTTGGAAATCCTCCTGTCTGCTCTTTACTCCCTGCCTTCCCTATCCCACCTGACTGACCTTGGAGAGGCAGGTAGTCTGGAGTGTAATCCTGGCTTACTAGATGATCTTCATTCAAGAAACATTTACAAGCATCTACTCTGTAGTAGGTAGTTTATTATACTTCTTTGACTCTCAGCTCCTTGCCTGTAAAATGGGAAATGGTAATAGAACCTGTCATAAAGGGAACTTGGTGGCTTAGTGGGTAAGGCGCTGTGCTGCCAACCCAAAGGTAAGTGATTTGTATCCACCAGCTGCTCCAAGGGAGAAAGATGAGTACTTGCCTCCCGTGTGATTCAGAGTCTTTGCAAACCCCCTGGAGGGTCAGCTATGAGTCTCTTCTGACTCAGTGACAGTGAGTGAATGAATGATCTACCACAACAGATTGTTGTGAGGATAAAATGAAGCAGCAGTTGGAAAGTATGGGGTCCTACATCTGGCATGTAACAGTGCTTCATAAGCAATAGTGGTTAATAGCCTCCATTATCATTTAATATGCATCCCAGTCCACTCCAATTGATGACAGTCTCACTTTCCCACTTTCCCCCTCTTTCCCCTGCTCAGAGGCAGACAGACATCCTCTATGGTCAAGTTCTAGGACCCAGTTCTCTGAGGGCCCCTTCTCAGCAGTGCAATATCCTATCTTACCTGTTTCTTAAGGAATGTGACCTCCACACTGGGCTCATCCCACAACTCCAGAGGGATCCCCAGATCCACCTTCACTCCCTTCTGAACCAGGCCCTTCAGGGTTGCCATGGTCTGACTCTGGCCCTGAGAAATGGGAAAATTTGGATCAGCCCAGTCCACTGCCCACTTCTTCCTTCCTCTTTTCCACCATATCTGCTTTGTCAACTACTTGGGCCTCAAGGGTGAGTTACATGAGGGGAGAGAAGGGAGTCTGAAGATGGCAGATAACTCTTGTGGACCTCAGGGGTATAAGTTATTGATCCCTCATCAAAGATGCTCTTAGGGAAGGGTCTGACCTTGGCATATCTCAGTGAACCCTTGCGTTCAGCATGAACACTGTAATCCAGGATCCGCTCACAAAGATTCTCCAAAGCCTCTTCTAGTCTTGTCTCCCTGTGAGAAACCAGAAAATGAAGACTCCTTGGACACTATAGGAACTGCCAGGGCTCTCTTTCAGGGGATGGACGGTGAAGGGGCACCAAGGAAGACTCACGAAACACTGTAAGGGATATGTCTCTTCCTCTTGCCTGTGTCCAGCACCTGGCCCAGCTCCAGCACCTCTCGAGACCGGCCAGTGCGGCTCAGTTCCTCCTGGAGCTCCAGGCTTAGAAGCTTACAGACTGTCATAGAACAAAGACACCCAGGGAGAGATGAAAAGAAGGCAAACACACTAGTACCTCTATCTGCAGGTAAACAAAAGGAGCATAGCACAGTGGTTACAAGCACAGGCTCTGGAGCTGGTATGACTGCTGTTCAGCCATTTAGTAGCTGCTGTGCCTCAGTTTCCTCATCTCTAAAAATGAGGCTAATAGGAGACAGATTTGGGAAGCACATATCCCCTCTCTCCTATGTCACTTATTCATTCATTGCTCATAAGTGGAAGCTGACCCTCCAGTGGGTTTTCAGAGGCTGTAAATCCCATGAAAGGAGATTACCATCTTTCTCCTGAGCAGCAGCTGGTGAATTCAAACCATTTGCCTTTGGATTGGCACAGCAACTCTACCCACTAGGCCACCCGTAACAGTATATAATAAACCTTCTGCTTTTTCTGTTTCAAAAAGTAATAAATAAAATGGGAATAATAAAAATACCTCCCTCAAAGAAGTGTGGTAAGCATGAAATAAGTTGATATATGTCATAGAGAGTTCTGCACCTATTTGCTGTTATTCTGTATTTATTGAGCTCCTGTGTGCACACTAATGAAACAGAGAACAATAAAACCTTGGTCGTATCCATGGAACATGCCAATGTAGACAGATAACAGAGTATGACATATGGTGTGATAGACCCTACGCTAGAAATTCAGACCAACAGGCTTAACCTCATAAGGAAATGCAAAATTAATTCAATGGTGATTTCTGTAAGAGCAAACATTTCTGCTGTGCTGCAGTCTAGTTACTGGCATAGCAAACAGAACAAGATATATAGGCGCAATGGGTAGGTAGGAAAGGATAATGAACATTTAATAATGACTAGTTCAGTAGTAAAGTTTGGGCCCTTTTGGAATTAAGGTGGGAAAATGAAAGTATAAGAATGGTCAACCAGAGGCAAGTGGTTCAAATCCACCAGATGCTCTGCTGGAGAAGGTGGGGCAATCTCCTGTACCAGTCTCAGATTTGAAGGCACACACATAAAAAAAAAGAATGGTCAAGACCATACAGTAAAGATAATTAGATACAATGTAAAAATGTTGGTTGTATACTCATTACAGTAAATCCAGTGGAAGTGTTAAAATGTTAAAAAAAAAAGTTGACAAGGGGAAGGATATAATTAGGTCTTCAGGTCTTCCTTTAAAAAAGAAGTGAAAGAAGTGTTTAGAACCAGGATCTGAGAAACACTGACACTGAAGTGCAGTAAGGGATAAAGGGAAAAAGAACCCAAGGAAGAAATTAAAGTCAGTAAGGAACCAAGCTAAGAAACCAGGGTACTTGATTGGTTACTCAGCTCTGAAGTGCCCATCCCATGTTGGTCCCATCCTCATGCAGTTACAGAAGATACTTCTTGTTGTAAAATCCATAATCCATACAGTACACACCCTTGGCACTGTCTCAACATGATAGGGAACTTCTCAGTAGGGGAACCTCTTCTTTTATGAGCTTCATGGTTTGAGTTGCTCACTCCCAAGCTCCCTCAGGGATGCATAGGTCCTGTGATTTGAGAGCATCTCTCTGCTGAGTGGGACAGAAAATGTCCACAGGTTAAGAGCCTCACACCTCGCTTCTCCAGGCCCTCCAGATTTAGGTCCAGTGACAAGGGAAACACTGAAAATGCACAACACAGTGGGAGGTCCTCAGCAGATAGCCCTTGAACTACAGTGCCCACAATCCAGGTGATCCCAAGTCTTCCACATAAAGTAGGCTCCCTCTGGATGTCTCAAGGTAACTTTAGTGCCATAGTCTTGGGATTGTATTATATGATCCTCCTCGATCTCTAGAAATCAGCCAAATTAATGAATAGCCCTCAGATTTTAAAGGAGGTCGCAACCATCACATTCTATTTGGTCATTTCAGTACTTGTTTTGACACCTCCGCAGGCACTGATGCATTTGGATTGTGGTGTTGGCAAAGAATATTGAATATATGGAGTGCCAGAAGAACGAATCTGCTTAAAAGAAATACAGCCAGAATGCTCCTTACATTCAAGAATGGCAAGCCATTATCTCAAGTATTTTTGACATATATATCATATCCGGAGGGACCAATACCAGCAGAACATCATGCTTGATAGAAGATCAGCGAAAAAGAGGAAACCCCTCCACAAGATGGGCTAACACGGGGTTGCAACAATGGACTCTAGTATGGCAGCCCGTGAGGATGGCGCACGGCCTGACAGTGTGTCCTATCGTCGAGAGCTGGACTAGAATTGGTGGTACCTAACAATGACAATAGCCCTTTAACTGTGATCAGAAGAAGACCAACGTTTTGGCAATAGCATGAAATCTCTTAACTGTAAAACTCCAACCTCTCTTACTAAATTTCCATCCTCCCACCCTCATCCCAAAAGTGCTTCTACCCAGAGAGGGAGGGAGGGAAGGATGAGGATGCAGATAGGAGTTACTCCTTTTATATACCTTCACATTTGCTGGGCAAGCGTTCCAAGTCATCATCCAGTTCCTTCGGCGTCCCTGCCCAAACCCTGAAAACGGTCAAAAAGAAAAGTAGCGTCCCCAAATGCACAGGTCCCATGATAAACTCTTCTACTTTGAAACCAACTTGGGCAAGCCCTTTAAATTCAAAAACGATCAGCCACAGAGCTGGAAACTCAGGGTCGCAGCGCGCGTGCGCACCGCCTGTCAGAAAAGAGGCGGGGCTTCAATGCTCTCTGGGCGTCTCCGCCCAGGTTTGGTGGCGCCTCCTGTAGGTCCTGGCCGCAGGGTAGTGAAGCGATAAATCAAAGAAATGAGACATAAAAGCGTGATTCTTGCACAAAGATTTAAGGACAGTGTTTTTGTAAAATATCATATGCAATTCTAGGGTATTTATTCCAGCTCTGAGGACGGGCCGTGTGTTGCTCTCTGCCCGGACCTGCTTCCGGGAGGGGCGGGTCCAACATGGCGCCGAGCGCCGGCTGAGTGGGGCTTGGGCGACGGTGAGAGATTTACCATCTTGTCTCCTCTGCTGGGTGGCGGGGCGGGTCCGAGCGATACCAGGGACAAGACCCCGCAGAAGGTGCCCTGTGAGGACCAGAGGAAGGTTGGTTAAATGTCCTCTGCATGGGGACTCCCGTATGCCTGTGTTTGGGTTGGGAGAAAGGGGTGGGCTCTCCGAGTCACTGTTTTGCACTGTACCCGGTGCCCCAGGGGGTCTTCTTGCCGCTGCTTTGCTGACATAGCGTCAACTCAGCCTCGGAGATCCAACTCAAGGCAATCTCTCTAGAAAGTCTTCCTGATGCCTCTGATGATTCGAGGGGCTACTAAGTATGTTTCGCCTTTTATAAGCCTTATTGGAAGCCTTTAAGGAATCATGGTGGCGAAGTGGTTTAAGTGTTGGCTTGCTAAGTGAAAGACCTTCCCAGCGGCTCTGCAGGAGAATGATGAAGCTGTTGAGATGCATAGTCTCTGAAACCTGGTGGAGGGTCGCCAGGAGTCAAGATCGTCTGGAAGGCAGTGGGTTTGGGGTTTTAAATTTTATTATCTACCTGGCCCAAGCACTGAAGAGGACCTGAAGCACCTGCTCCAGAGGGTCAAGGACTGCAGCCTCCAATATGGATTGAGGCTCAATGTCAAGAAGACAAAGATTCTCACCACTGGACCAGTTGGCAGCATCAGGATGGATGGTGAAGAGATTGAGATTGTACACAGGTTTAGTTTGCTTGGCTCCACAGTCAACACTCTTGGCACCAGTAGCCAGGAAATTAAAAGGCACATTGCCATGGGAAAGTCTGCTGTTGGGAACCTCTCCAAAGTACTGAAGAGCAATGGTGTCTCTCTGGAGACTAAGGTACATCTGATACAGGCCATGGTCTTTGCAATCACTTGTTATGCATCAGAGAGTTGGACAATGACCAAGGAGGATAGAAGGAGAATTGATGCCTTTGAGCTGTGGTGCTGGAGAAGAGTATTGAGAATACCATGGACTGCTAGGAAAGCAAACAGATTTGTCCTGGAAAGGGTTAAACCGGGTGGCTCCTTGGAGGCAAGGATTCTTAGGCTCCATCTAACATACTCTGGACATGTTGTAAGGAAGGACCAGTCCTTGGAGAAGGACATCATGCTTGGGAGGGTGGAGGGAAAGCACAGGAGGGGAAGGCCCTCTATAAGGTGGACTGATTCAGTGACTGGGATAATCAGGATGGGAGTGTCAGAGACAGTGCGATTGGCACACGACAGAGTTTAGGGCTGTTGTACATAGGGTCGCTATGAGTCGCAAGTGACTCGACGGCACATAACAACAACAACCACCTAGCCCAGGGTTAGATAGAAAACAGATATGTTGGCAGCTTCCAGTGGGAAACATTTTTTAACAGAATTAGGTCCTGAGACTACAGCAGGGGAGTGGGGAAATGGGGGTGTTAAGTACTTCTGGTTGTTTAAGGATTGGTAGGAGTTGTCCAAAGAACCAGGGAAGAGGAATGCGACTTTTATATGTAGCACCAACCTTATGTGTTATAACACATAATATAAATCTGCTCTATCAGCAGAGCTATGTGTTGGATAACTGCTCCCTATGGATTGTTGGGTGCTGTTGGCGTGGCTCCCATCTCATAGCTAGCCTGTGTCCAACAGAACCCAACGCTCCCCAGTTCTCTGCCACCTTCACAATCTCTGCTGGCCTTAGGTATGTTGCAGTCTGTCGTTATTAGAATGGTGAGGGATCAGGCATGATTTCGTTCTGATGTGCAACAGTATCTGAACTGAGGGTGTAAATTTGACTGTCATTAGCCTATGAAAGATATTTGATGCTCTAAGAGTAGTTGAGATCACCAGGGAAATAAATGTAGCTAGAGAGGAGGACCAAGGGCTGAACCCAGGATGCTCCTGCATTACACAGAGAGGAGAGGGAGGAGCAATAAAGAAAAGCTACTCGAAAGTATCTGGTGGGGTAGGATTAAGGTTTTAAAGTGAGAACCAATCAGCAAGCTGTGTGTTTACTCCTCATCTTCACTTGGATGCCTGCATAGGTCAGAGTGGGAGAATTGTATTTATTATTGTTGTATTTCTGTCAAACACAAAGAATATATATAAGAAGGGGTAAGGGAGATGAGGTGTGTCTGCCTAACGCCCTAAGGAAAAAGAAATCTCAGTTGTGATTAATATTCTAAGGTAAATGCTTAAGAGTGATTGATTGAAAAACCAGCGTGATATATGAATTTTCATTCAAATAAAGAAATAAAAAGCTTGAGACTCCTTGATGTGGAGTCAGAAGTGACTCAGATGATCCTTCATTGGGCTTCCAAGTGGCTGTAAATTGCCCTGGAAGAGACCGAGTGCCCATCTTTCTCTTGCTGACCTGCTAGTGGATTCACACTAAAGGCATTTGACCCTGTGGATCATAACAAACTGTGGCTGACTCTGAGAAGAATGGGAATCCCAGAACACTTGATCATGCTAATGAGAAACTTATACT